CCGCGAATGGACCGCTCCGAAGGCATTCCGCCGTAACATTGCAAAACGAGGGTGGTGAAGATTATACACTAAAGGGTGTCAACAGAACAGAAGAAGTTGTAAGTAGGTGCAAGTAATGCAGACCATTGACAGTACAATAACAGCATCATCCATGCCAGGGCTTCGTATGAGACGGAAGCGTGTGTATAGTCTAGCGGCAACGCAAAGTATGGAAAGACTTGTCAGTCCACTGTAGACTCCAATTATCATCGGTGCCCTGGTCTGATCACCTCCCATTGGAGCTGGGCCAGCAGCTTCTGCCATATTCGAGTTTTAAAGAGATACTGCCGTGGGGAGGAGAATTGCAGGGCATCAAAATCTCAAACGAGAGTAAGTATGGCAAAGAGTTCCAACGAATGCATCTAAGCCACCTGGGTCAGGCCTCAAGATATAGCCTGAATATACCCATGGCAGCACAAGACTGACGCATACTTGAGGCATATACTTACACATATAAATACTATGGTAGGAGCTTCAACCCAGCATAGCTAGCAAATAGGAAGGCCGGCCTGGGGCTGTCCAAGACATAACCTGCATGTTGGTCGCCAATGATATTTTCAAGGTCTCATCCTTGGTCTAGGTCAGGCAGTCAAAAGCCCGCTTTGTTTTCCGTGAGAAGCCTAACTATTTATTTAAGCTTGTTCGGCTAGTACGTAGTAACTCTAGCTGAGACTCGCCACCACCACCTGCACTAGCAAGCGGCACAACTCCGTCGATCTATGCGCCTATGACAGGCTTGTACATTATCCAGTCGGGGCAAGGTCCGGGCCAGGAACAAACGATCAAGGGCCGGAGGGCTGCGACAGAGTGACTAGATGAAAATAGAAAGTCATTGCAACCTCGGAAATTCTCGTGTTATATAGAATCCAGTAAGCTAGAAGATTGTTCTACGAGAAGAACAAGTTCGAGACTATCAACAGCAAGATAAACGAGTCAAAGCTTAATAACAAAATGCTTTCACTGACTAAATAAGAGTGGATAACATTTTTTAACTACGAAGACTATAAAACTATCTGGAAAATAAATATACTTATTGTCATGCGCAGTAGGGCAGGGCAGCCTGCGCCTGCCAGGCGGGTAGCATGCGCCAAGGATAGGCCGAATTGACGCACAAAAGGCGCCAAATGCACATAGATAGGATCTACACTTTCAACCATACAACTCAGCGCCTTTTCTGCGTCTTTTCTGCGTCTTTTCTGCGTCTTTTCTGCGTCTTTTCTTCGCCTTTTTCTGTTAGGCCGTGGCCGTCTAACATTTATATAGACAGTCATCTTCAAAAAATGCAACGTACGTGAGTCTTGAGAAGTCAATCTGCACTTGCAACTGCAAAAGAGGCTGCAGATATTTTTGCTGATTAGGAGGGGACAAATTTTGTGACATTTGACAGTACGAACCAAGATGAAACGGCTCGCCGCCACGTGGTGTCTGGGTTAGGAGCTGTCAAAAACGGTGGTTGTTGTCCTGGAAACGATCGTTGTGAGGTAAACCTTTCGTAGTGGGCTGAGGACTTTCTTTCCCAAACATCAGGCTGTCTTGAAATGCATTTGGCACACTGCGATAGCTGGACTGACCAATAAGAAGAAAAGAATTCATAATATTCTCGCATTTTAGAGGACGACTGGTCATGTCAACATTATTATTAGTAATCTCCGTACCGTATGGAGAAGAAATGGCATCTGGTCGCAATTGCTCAGCTAGCCCGGAGAACCAGGGAGATAATTTACGCAACACCGCACTCCCGTCCCATAAAGGTAGTTCTGTCATCAAATCCTGCCGCGCTTCGGAGGCAAGTACGCCATTTCATATTTACCCGTCCGAAATCCCCTTGTGGTTTCGAAGCCACCATGTCCTGGCCCCTCTACCCGTACATCCTAAAACTCTCCACCCCCAATGTCGGTGTCTCAACCAATCGATTCATCGGCACACCTTCCTCTTTCCTCCTTTCGAAGAACCCTTGACATTCTCCCACGATCTGTGCCCACTCGGCTAGCGCCCGACCCGCATACCTGGCATTACCTAAGCTCTGCGGAGTGGGCCTCCTCGGCTCCACCTCCTTCAGCTCCTCACCTTTCTCCTCCTGGCGTAATTGGATCAGTTCTTGAGCTGGTGGTGGCAGTTTCGGTGGGCAGAGACGACGATTCTTGCTGGGCCAATTAGGACGCTCGAGCCATTCGAGGGAGAACTTGAAGGAGAATGGTTGATGAGGTGGTGTCGAGGCGCGATGGGGAGGGGTATCGTTAGGCATTGCACCGCTGCGGATGGAGATGGTGTCGGATAAGCTGGCTATGTCGCTGCTAATGACATTCGAGGATTCGTCTGGGCTTCTGGGTGGCGTGACTTCGCCGGGACGTGCATTACCGGGTGTGCTGAATGGTATGATGCTCTTCATGAAGCTCCAGCGCTTTTTGGCTGGGTTGCGAATTGATTCACGGCCGGCGGCGCCATTGGAGATGGCGATGCTCGGTGTTGTAGGTTGAGTCGAGGGCATTTGTGAGAGAACTTTGTCGAAAGAAGTAAACATACTAACTGGAATAGGTTGGCTGTCATTGCGGATGATGATCAGACGTCGTCCCGGGGCTGGACTACAAGGCGCTGACGAAGGCATTGTAGTGTCGTGCTCTTCCGCCTCATCCTTTAGATAGAGGTAAGATGCCCAGCTGCTATTGAGCCTGTCTGCCAGCGTTTCATAGATTGCAATGTCGAGTTCGCTCGCATCGCCATCATACCTCGCAGTGCGCCAACACAGGAGGCGAAGGTAGTATGCTCGCACCATAGGACACCAATGACTGAAGTGCTTTTCGAAAAATGATGGTTCCAAAAGCCAATCCAAGCAAAGTTCCTTTCTTCTGTCTTCATTAGAAATTAGAATATTCCAAGTGCTGTATACAAAAGCTATGAGTCGAATCTCAGTCAAGGTGTTGTGGCTGTCCATCATTTGCTGGCAGACCTGGAACCAGAACGCCCAGTCCAGGATCTCCGTTTCCGGATGACTTTGATGATATCGTGACATGATGGCTAGAAACTCTTCCATAAAATCGCAAAGAACAAAACATGCGTCGTGGTTATAAACTGATATCTTCCTGGTTGCAGCCTTGACAATGTCGGCGAATGATTCCGCGTAGAGCTCACGCAGTCCTTGAGAATCCGGATTCTGGTCCGCTAGCAAGTCACGCAGGAGCATAATGAGCCTGTTCTCAGCCATGGAGCGCGCTGCATTTGCAGTTGTTAGTGGCATAGTGGCCGCGGCATCTGGAGAGTCCAGGTCGTCCACAGCGCTAGAAGCAAACATATCGCCCTGTGGCTGTCCGATTTGGCGGTATAGTGTAGCTTCTAGGACAGTCAAAATTTGAGCGTGAACAGGCACCAGTCCAGGAATACAGGCACGTTTCCTTTTCTCGGTCACTCCGGGAAGAATATCAGCGACAAGAACATGAAACTGCTTGGTGAACCCAAAAAACAAATCGCTGTCACGTCCACTCCATCTGCTCATCCAAGGTCCGTACCAGCGAATATAGGCTGCTCCAAATGGTAAAGGCGTCCTGTGATGCAGATATCTGACTAGAGCTGCATGCGATGTGATCGCGAGACTCCTAAGAGCAGGCGGAAAATGCGATGCAACCTCCACCGACGTCGCTCTGAGTTTGAACCCTCTCGGGACGTCAAGCTCAAGCAGTATCCTTCGAAGTGTGTCTGCGGACAAATGCCACAGTCTGACCAGAATATCTGCCACCCCCGGGCAGAAAAAGAACGCATATGCACAAGCCTTGCCACAGTAAGCAACTAAGCTTGCTGGAGCGCTTCTCATAGACATCTTATCTACCACGAAGGCCATTTGTGACAACAAATTCTGCACGAAGATGTTTCTGACGTTGTGATGCACCGATTCAGTCAGAAAGTCTGAACCACCGGACTCCAGAGAGCTCGTAGAGGTCGAAATGGGCATACCGAAACGTTGAACAGGTGGCGTCTCTGCTTGCGTTGGAATTGGATACGGAGGTATCCTCCATTCTGGTCTTACCATGACGCCTGCAACACCTTCAAGAAAAGATGGTCGATCCGTGCCCGAAATGGATTGGTTGTTCCTGCCGTTAAGCATTTCCAGGAGACCAGTCCACCATTTGTTCAATATCATTACTCGACGGTCCAAATCTTCAGCACGAAGTGTTTTATTTGAAGGGTGATCGGCGTATTTGGCAAGAAAGGGGAGGAGGGAAGTCCGTATTACGTTTGCTTTGAGAGCACTTGACTTGGACTGAAATCTAAGAAACATGAGTACATAGCCTGAGTGGTCGCTCTTTAAACTCACTTTTGAAAATCACCTTCGAGGGTTCGGAAAACACTCCACAATGGATCTTTCTTCTTGTTGGTATCCAAACTGGCAGAAGATAGTCTGTCTGAAGATAAGGACGAAGGAATGGGCGGAACCTTCATTGAGAGAAGATTTGGCAGCTTGTCCAATGAGCTTTTGCTTCTTAATGATTGCAGGGAAGGCTTTTTAGGTAGTTTAAGCTCTGTCTCGCTCTTGTTCATATGCATAATTGCACTAAGCGGCCTCCTGCCGAACTTGTTCTGTAGAGGCGGTCGCTGCCGTGGTGCAGGGCTGATTTCTGGCGACGCGTTTGGCTTGCCATCCTCGACATTGGAAATTTGAAGAGGCGGACAAGGTGCTGTTGGCTGAGGCGTAGAGCCGGGCTTGGAAACAGTTGATATGGATTGCTTCTTGTCTGGAGTGGTGTTATGTGATTTAGCCAGCTTCCTGGCCGCTTTGGGAGACGGGGAAGGTGATCTCGAAGACGAAGATCTCCATGATCTTCTGGCAAGGCTGCGAAAGGTGCTGGAAACAGAACGGCCAGGCGAGGGCCTCGGTTTCTCCGTGACTTCAACAACAGCAGGCTCGTTGGCTTCCTTTCCCTTTGCGCCTTCAAAATCTTCTGGGGAGAGAGTGAATTTTCGGACAGCAACTTTTGTCTTCCCGTTTCTTGATGCACTCCGTAACAGTTCCTTGCTGGGCACATATGGCGATTGCCGGTTGTTGGGTGATCCATCCGGTGAAAGGGCTAAGACATTGTCTGAAAACGTCCGCTTAATGCCTTCGGGACGCTGCGCTTCTTGCACGCCAGGAAGGTGTGTGTAGCTAGCAGAGCGTGGAAGTCCATTGAATTCGTCTTGGGTGCGAAGGGACTCGGGAGGAGGAGAAGTATCCGGATGTACCGGCTTCAAGGCGTGTACCTGGACGGGGGGTAGGATATCCACCTCTGCACCAAGAGTGAACATGCTAAGAGACCAGCTCTCATCGAATAATTTGGTAGCCGGTCTACTCGTGCACAAAGGCCATCAGACTCTGTGCCAGTCAGAGAAATGTCGAGCAAGTACCAGAGTGAATGTGCTCAAATGTCGAGGTGATTTCGACGGCTGTAAGCGAGTGTAAAAATACAGATCAGAATTTAGCAACGGCGGGTAGCTTCAATATGTGCAGAGAGACTGAAGTGCGCTATACGGTCACTGTAAATTAAATGCAAAATAATGATAACGAGAGTAAGAGTGTTGTATGGACCTGGTAGTAGAGAGACAGCGTCAAGATCCTTTGCCGCTGGCAGTGCACATCACATTGGGGCTTGGGGGTCGGGAACGCGGCTGGAGGCCAACCGAACTCTATTTTATCTAAAAGCCTCCCTTACTTCTCTGTGCTCCGTACCGAGTTGCTGACGATCATGATCATCCTGGCTCCACTCTATGTCTCAAAAGCCTTTATTGCGCCTTGCACATGTACGGGCGCTAGCTGAGAGAGAGAGAGTCATCAATCTAGGGGTATTTACTTTCCATCATCGCCAATTTCTTCCCTTGAAACCCTTCGGAAAGCTACCAGTCCATCCTGTAGCAGTTTGTTTCTTTAGTTCTGCAAGTCGTTGCTTCTTGCTCTGGATTGGCCTGATTTCCAACTTGCCTGGGGCTGTGTGATTCCAGAGCACGTTCTCTAAGACGTTTCACTACATCCAAGTAATAACAGCCCGAAGTTGCATACAGATGAAGCGGGACAACAAGGCAAATCTATCCACCATGTGTTATCCTAGTTGCACATTGAATTCGTTTCACGTTTAGCAAGGGTAGTTGGAATTTTAAGCTAGAGAGCATGGTCGTAGCGAGGAGAGTGTCCAGTACCAGAACACGCCTGGATCTTCTGAGATCTTGCGTCTAACCCGATCATATATAATTTCGTGGAGGTGGCTTGGAATTCCAGCAGTCGACGCACTTCTATATCGCCAACTTCAGCGGAGTGGAAATCTCTTGGGGACTGTTTTTTGAGCACATTGAATTCTGGGCTGATGCTGGTGGTGTATTTACATGAGGACATAACGCTGATACTGTTCTTCTTTCAATGTGCTGCTGGCTGCTCTTCGTCCAAATCTTTGAGATCTTCGAAATAATCCCCTTCAGGCTCCTGGGCCTCTCCTGAAGACGCTTGCCCTTCCACCTCAACAGCAGAATTCTCATATTCCTGCACCTGGTTGGTTATGCTCGTCTCCTCGGGTGATTTAGGAGGCTTTGGCATGGTGAACTTTTGGACATGACCTTCGGCGTCGGCTGGCTTGGCTGGGGGTGGCTTGTATGCTCGAAGCTCTCTCAGGTACAGATCTTGGATAATGTCGGCTGCAACTATTAGAACTAAGTGCGTATATGATGGTGGAGGCTGTCATACGTTGTCTGATGGCAGTAGCAGCAACAAATTGCCTACGGTTAAGAGGAGTGGTGTTTCGAGCTATGCGGGCCGCGAGGGAGCTCTACGAAATCAAGATCAGCGTAATGATTCAGGAGAGTGATATGCAGACAAGTATGCTCACTGATGCCCTTAGCGATCGAGGCGTCATCTTGTCAACCCTGGCTCTTCGGTTTGCAAAGGTTTGGAAGGGGTTGAGGACCTTTGGGTCAGATGTTACGGAGGACCTTTGGGAGCTTGGTCAATTTGCCCGTCTGTCAAGCCGGACGGTACTAGGTCCAGATCGTACTAGTGTCATCTGGCGTGACACCCTCCGACTCTTGCCGCCGGCGCCGCCTTCACCAACAATGAATAAGGCTCTTCTTCATCCTCAATCTTTCTCCCGCCACTCACTCTTTCAACCACTTCGACGCCTTCGCCGTGTTCGCAGTATTGAGCATCAACTCTATCAGTAATTGGTCTAAAACATTCGGAGCCTGCTGGCAGACTTTACCAACTCACTCACCACCAAAACCTTGAACGACTTCTCACCAATATTCGTGGGCTTTGCCAATAGCGCACGCTTCCACGAGGCCTTTACTGGTTCATACTGGCGAGAGAGTCACTATCTTAACAGTTACCACTCGATACCTGCGCTCCATACCTCCGCGAACGAACGGCTTGCGATCAACCCACCAGACGAGATTTGGTAGCTACGCTTTCTTAAGGTACACCTCAGACTTGTCCCACACATCTCTGACTTGATCCTTGCAAATGCAGCCATCACTTCTTTGTTTTATTGGCTTTGATTACGACACAGCTAGCTGACATGTGCCCTCTTCTCAGTGCAGAGGCGAAGGACTTTGGTCTCTTTACCCAGATCCTACTACTAGTTCAGCCTTCGCCGCAAGTTTGTGTGGGCTAGGCACGGTCCCGTCGTGTTAGACGTACCGGTGATAGCCACGTGACAGAAAAAGTCTCGCTAGTTACAGTCTCCTCTTCTTTCAATACCGCCAAACTGTATTCCCCACTTTTCGTCAAGCTCATTGCAAACAAACATAGCCTACTCGTCAGCCATAGCGGTATCCAAAAAAGAAATCGGAAGCGAGTTCAAGGCAAACCGATCAAGCGAACTGCCGGTAGAGATTTGGAGAAGCTTATCATGTCTGGAATACCAGGTATACCGATTGACGAAAACGCCAAACCTGGTGAGCAGGCGCCTCAGCCCTATCGAGAGAATCTGAGTGTTATCGTGACGTGCCCGGACTGCAAGGAATACCCACCAAATTTGGTCAATGAAGGAGCCACTCTCGTCTGCGCAAGTTGTGGCATGGTGCTTGAAGATCGTGTTGTTAGTATGGAGAGCGAGTGGCGAACCTTCAATTCTGATGAGGGCAAAGGAGACGATCCTAGTCGAGTTGGCGAGGCAGAGAGTGAGCTTCAACTGGGTGACCACCTTGAAACAAGAATATCGACCAGCCAGGGGAGCAGCAAAGCATCGCGCATGCTAGCAGCGGCCCAAAACAAGCAGTCTAGCGAGAAGACAAATAAAAGCCTGGCGTCAGCGTTCAGGCAGGTCGAATTTTGGGGGGAGAAGGCCGCCCTGCAGAAGAATATTCGTGACAATGCTAAGAGGTACCTCAAGCAAGTCGATGATGCGAAAGCTTTCAAAGGGAAGCAACAGGACGCGGTTGTAGCAGGTTGTATCTTCATCGCATGCCGACAGGCGCAAGCAGCACGAAGTTTCAACGAGATTCATCAGCTCACCCAAGTGCCCAAGAAAGAGATCGGCCGGGTATACAAGCATCTCGAGAAATTTCTGCGTAACGCTGACGATGTCAAGCTCAAGCGGATTGAGGCTGAAGGTGGTATCTTCGATTCTGCTGCGGCAGCCTACAAAAACACCAAATCTACAAATGCTTCAGATCTATGCGCCAGATTCGTCAACATGCTCAACCTTCCAGTCAAAGTCGAGGCCTTCGCAAGAGATATTGCTAACAAGATCGTTTCGATCAATGAGCTTGCTGGCCGTTCCCCTCTGTCAAATGCGGGCGCCTGCATCTACTTTGCAAGCCATTTCGTTGGGTTGGGCAGGTCGGCGAAAGAGATCAGCCAAGTGGCAGGTGTGAGTGATACCACAATCAAGGGGGCGTACAAGTTCTTGTTCAACGCACAGGACACCCTGATTACCGAGAAGTTTCTGAAGGCACCCTACAATGGGGATCCAAAGAACCTGCCTCAAGTCCAGAATTAAATGTGGTGGATGATAAGTTCGGGACCGAGAACGGATAACCCAGGGCTCAGTCAGAGTGCTAAGGCGAGCTCCGGTGAAGATGGACACCGATGAATTTGGCTCGCCATCAAATCCCCAAGATTTACCCCTTGCAGCTCTGTCGTGCGCTGGACATCTGCTGCTTCTACCATGATACCCATGCATTGCTTTTTTCCATCTATTTACTCGCGCGACGCGCGTGATATACTCATTGTCGAGCCTCTATTATGAAGCAATTTAGACCACGACGGGAAGGCGTTATGTAGCAACCGTCTTTACACACCAAGACCGCAATGATCCCACGATCACCAGGAGAGGCGTTGCTTGGAACTACCTATGGAGGCAAACGGGGGTGGCGGTGGTCTTTGTGCCTCGAGTCTTGATCCGGAGGGAGGTTTGATGGGTACTGCTCTCCTACGTCACATGCATATGCGAGGATGCGAAACAAATTCTAGGGAAAAAAAACCGGAAAAGCTAATGAATAGTAATCGACAAATATTTTAAACATGCCATACGCTGCTTAATATAAATTTTCTCGTGAAGTAATGCAGCTAATGATCCGCTCGTGTGCCACGTACTGTACAAAAAGTGGACCAAAGCGTGTCTTCTGATCTCGCAGCATTCCTCTACCTACCCACCTTACTAGGGCGAGACCTGTAGGCGATCGTATGACATTATCCGCTGGAGCTTTTACCGGCACAAAACCCGTTCGCGAGGAGTGTGAAATAACCATACGGCTACTAAACCACGAGAAGGCATGGATCCCAGGTTTTTGCGGAGCAACGTTTTACGTAGAGAGGTGGGCGCTAGGCAACACAGAGAGTAGAGAGCACGAAAGTGATCGAGTTCGAATCAGTTCTGTTCTTGAATAGGAAGGGGAAACGTATTGAGGTTTCAGATGGAGGAGACTAAGCACTGAAGTGGAGAAGGTGTGTCATAGGGGCTCGGTGCGGAAAACCGAGCATGTGCCAGACTCAATCCAGTGCCTGGGATGACGTGAGCTACTGAGCTGGGGAGGATATAGCAGAAGTTTGGTGTTTTGAATTATTCTCCTGTTGGGTTCCTGAAGATTTCTCAAGACGAGATGGTGTTGATTGGGGAGACGTCTTCTCCGATGTAGGTGGAATTGTGATCACTTGGGGCCGCCATTTGAAGGAAAGCTGGGAGATTCCTTGAGCAGTACGCTTTCGCCGGGTTGGAAGTTGCTCTGTGGTTCACTTGTGCTTGTCGGGTCCTAAGCGTGATAGTCGTTACCATTGCCTTCGAGGGGACTTGTTGTCCTGGTGTCCCCTTGCTCCGCACCATCGGCGCCAGCGCATGCTCACTGTTCGCTTTGCTCGCTGTTGATGGTTGCAAATCGCGACTTGCAGAGGAATATATCCATTATCGTTCTGGTCGAACATGGCGGACGTCAATTTTCGCACTTGAGGGTCGGGGAACTTTCGTCGAAGTGATCTTGCTCCCTGTCCAGTTTTGTCTGAGTACTAACGGGCATGATGGCTCATTTCATGCTTGATTCTGCCTTCCAAAGCATCTTCGCCATATCTATTCTCTTCACACTTTGTCTTTATACAACATGTTAGAAAGTGCCCATATACTCTTGTGCTCCTCCAAGAATACTAGCATATGTGCTGTCGCGTAAAGCGTGGTCCAATCTGCGATGCCTGGCATTGATCCCTTCGATGGCATGCCTAAGCAAATGGCGTGGATGCTACAAGCTCACGAATGAGCTTGAGGAAGTGAATGTAGCTCTTCTACGAGGAAGCCAGCGTCCCCCCTTAGGATTGCTAGTCCCATTTGAGGTGGCTGTAGTAGCCAAAGGAGCAGTAGCCCTCGCTGCCGAATACGGCGGAGGAGCACCTCCAAGTTTAGCCTCTTCAACAGCCCTAAGAAAGAACTGTATGATTTCTTCTGATGCATTTTGTTTCTCAAGTAGACTTATCGCCATTTTGAGTTGAATTGCTGGTACCTGATCGCACACGAACATAAGCGATATCAGAATAAAAGATGTCTTGAGCTGTTGTAAAACTGATCTGACCCCGTCGAAGCGAGGTGCAGAATAACGCCAGGCCAAATGCTGCTCCCACGGCCGGTCGACCGTACTGTCGAGTGCCTGAGCATTAAGCCATGTACTCAACCTTTCAATGGCCTCGTAGCACTCAACCACCAGCGCCCTGGCCGCGGCCACATTCCCATCTAACGAAGTGGATAAGTCGCGTCGCTTTTGAGATGGATGTTATGAAGCTTCTGAAGCACTGACACTACGAGGTCTGGATCGGCTGAGACGCTTGCATTGCTCGGATCGGCAGTCCTGAGCTGGCCTGAGAAGATGCAGAGCATTGTTGACGCCCGACCTCCTCAGTCTGCAAGGTGGAGAAGGCTGGTGGCAAGATCTATACCAGCGACTTCTGACATACCTTCAGGTTAGCGTAAACGAGACAACATATATTTGTACAGACAAAGAAGACTAAGGGCTGATCGTCGAGTCCTACTAAGTACTTGTACCGAGTACTTATACGACCGAGTCTGGAAGTCATGGGGCTCTGTGCCAAGATCCGAATATTAGCCGAGTCAACCTCCCAACTTTCACTTGCAAGACGTGTTGTGACTTGTGCAGGCTAAGTTGCGGCAAACACTGGCTTCATTTTCGAACAGTAGTCTATACGGTGCGATGAGGCAATGGTCGAAAAGTCGAGAGGCACGGCAGCAGCCTTTCCGGATCTCTCAAACAAGCTATCCAATCCGCCCTCTAAAAAGTCCCTCTTCGAACGCCAGAAAGCAGAAGCCGAGGCAAAGCGAATACGCGAGGAGAAGGAGACAGCGGCGGTCTACGAAGACTTCGTGAAGAGCTTTGACCAAGATGACGAAAATGAAGAGCTGTTGACAGCGGTGGGACATGGCACGAGTGGCAGGGGAGCATTCGGCGGGGGCAGAGGCGGTATATTCGGTGGCGGAGGAGGACCAGGAAAGCGCCATTTTACTGCCCGCGGAGGGAAGAATAGCGGACCAGGAAGTCTGGGTCCAGGTCCGGGAAGCAAGAGTAGTGGACCTGGGAGTCTCGGTCCCGTCCCGCCAGCAGGTGGAGGATATCGTGGACAGAAGAGGCCATTCAATGAATACGGCAGAGATCGAGATCACGAGCGAGATAGCGGAAATGGCATGTTCTCTTATGATGACCATGACAGATCCTCCTCTGGTGCTGTCTCGAGTCTGGACGCCGCTACAGCATTCCGCACAGATGAAAATGAAGACCAAAAGGCTGCGGTGGAGAAGGCAGCCCCGAAGCCAACGTTGCATCTCTCCTCGCTACCGCCGGGGACATCTCCCGCACTCATCAAGTCGATCATATCTAATTCATCCATTCCCGTGGACAATGTCCGCATCCTGCCTAGCAATCACTCCAGTCATTCTTCAGCAGACCGCAAATCCACCTCGGCAATCGTCACCTTGCCCACTGACACCCCGGCAGCAGATATCGACACTCTCGTCTCCCAGCTGCAGAACAAGTATCTAGGCTTCGGCTTCTACTTGTCCCTATCACGACATCTTTCCTCCACTACTCTCGGTACTGGCGGCGTTACTGCGCCCAGCACTTCCCTGAACAACCTCCCCTTCGGCGCCCGATCCGTCCCGCAACACACCAACCTCAGCCGTGGCGCTCCTCCACCAGGGCTTGGCGGCCACAGGGGCGGCTTCGCACCACCAGCAAGCTACACCTCCTCAAGCCCCTACAGTCAGCGCGGCAGAGATCAACCAACCCAAGTGATCGTCAATCCACCTTCGGATCTCAAACAGTTAAAACTAATTCACCTTACCCTCGAAGCACTTCTCACCCACGGCCCAGAATTCGAAGCCCTCCTGATGTCGCGGCGAGAAGTCCAACGCGATGAGAAATGGGCTTGGCTCTGGGACGCGCGGAGTAGAGGCGGAGTCTACTACCGCTGGCGTCTATGGGCTATATCCACGGACGCCGATCTTCGCGGCAGACGAGGAGCCAGCAATGGAGCGCAATTCGTCTTTGAGCATTCCTCGCCCTGGGTACCTCCCGACACGGGGCTAAAATTCGAGTACACGACCAGGATGGAGGAGTTCATCGAAGATGAGGCGTATGATTCGAGTGATGAGGAGGATTACGATGATGATGCGCGCATGCAGCGGCGGAGAAGGGCTGACCAACTGGCTGAGGGAATGGGTGGAGGAGGGGGAGGTGGTGTAGATGCTACTGCTGCAGATGCAGATGGAACGGGCTATCTGAATCCGCTTGCGAAAGCGAAGCTGGTACATCTCCTTGCCAGACTTCCTGATTCGAACACCAAACTGAGAAGGGGAGATGTCGCAAGGGTAACTGCCTTCGCAATTGAACATGCTGGCGAAGGCGCGGATGAGGTGGCGTCCATTATTACCGCCAACGTGCGCAGGCCCTTGTCTTTCACTAGCGCAAACCCGGAGAGACAGCAGGATCAGCACCAGCAACAGCCTCAAACCGCAGCAGCAGCAGCAGCAGAACAAGAGACCGAAGAGAACGCCAAGTCGTCCGCACCGCTGGAGAAGAGAGACACCACCGCGGCAAGCCTCGTTGCCCTTTACATAATCTCCGATATCCTCATGTCCAGCACCACGTCCGGCGTCCGTCACGCCTGGCGCTATCGTGCTCTTTTCGAAAACTCGCTCAAGCTCCAGGAGACATTCCAGTACCTCGGCGGAGTGGACAGAGAGTTGGGTTGGGGGAGGCTGAAGGCGGAGAAATGGAAGAGGAGCGTGCAGAGTCTGTTGAGTATGTGGGAGGGGTGGTGTGTCTTCCCGCAGGCGAGTCAGGAAGGGTTTGTGGAGGGATTTGTGAACCCGCCTGGTTTGAAGCAAATGAAGGGAGAGGCTGAGATGGAGGAAGAGAGGAAGAAGAAGAATGTGGGAGGGGTGGGGAAGTGGAAGAGCGTCGAGGATGGTGGTGGGGTCGCGAAAGATGAGAAGGGGGATGCGGAGATGGAGGATGTGGATGGTGCGCCCATGGTTGACGAGGATGAAGATGCAGAATTGGATGGTGTGCCTATGGAAGACGATGATATGCTGATGGGCACGGACGAGGATCTGGATGGTGAGCCGATGATTGACAGTAGTGACGAGGAAGCCCAGACGACAGAGCCAATTGCCGAGGTGCAGGGTGGTGAGATGGGATTGAAGGAGGTGGTGGAAGGAAGACCGAGTGAGAACAGGAGTCCCGCCGATTCAAAGCAGAATCCCGTCAAACGGCAGAGGCCTAAAGCTGTCGATATGTTTGCTGATGAGTCGGATGAAGAATAGCATACATGGCAAAGAAATATAATGCCCCAAAATGAATGCCAAAGGGGTCCATGCATACTCGATAAAGAGACTCCTGTCTTAAACTTCGTGATTTTCTATCGCACAGGGCCAAAACGGACAGGGGTTTTCTTTGCCTTATCGAAAACCGATATGGCAGCACTCTAACACGGTAACGAGAAGCTCATGACAAGGGAAAAGGCCCACGTGACATATACTGCAAGGTGTCTTCCACGACTATCAGAACGTTGGGAGATTGCCCGGGGAAGCATGAATGAAGCTCCGTTGAGACTGGTGGCGAGACCGCGCACCCACAGTTACCCATTTGGGTAACGTGGCCCTAGCCGGTCGTGGCTCCAGATAGCGGAATACATTCATATGAAAGCGACATGAATCTCAAGTATGAATTCCAAAACATAGATTTGTGGGCTCTGAACATCGGCGAATTGCTCTTATATGGAGGGTACATCCTCCGTTGCTGCTGAGATTGACTGTTGAACTAGAACTCTGCATCCTTCTTGAGAGCCACATGAACCATGTGATCGTTGATGCGATGAATCGACTTTCATGCGCGAGAGCTCCATTATCCACTCAAGGAGCTGGTCGAGGCTACGAGTTACCGTCGTTTTGTCGCGCAGTTGGTCGATAATGTAAGTCGTCGATCGGGGCTGTAGCCAAGGAAAGATCCATTTGCACCCTATACAGATTGGATAAGTATTGATTGTAGCATTCTCGGTACAGACCGAGGTATGCATCTTACAACGGCAATACGCCTGAGGGTGGCTGACAATGGAATATAGCAAAGACGGTTTAGCATGCCACACGGTATTGCCGGATGTGAATGGCCGGCGAACTATAAGATCATTGCCATAATTCCAACAAGTAAAACGTGAGTCGGTGTTTGGGTCGAAGTCACCTGCTGGCGTATGTCCCACGGTAATATGTCCGCTAAGGCAAAGCAGGCTTGGGAAGCCGAGGAAAATTTTGAGCTTCCGAGAGTGAAGTGTCGCATCGCACGCGGAGGGTGTCTTTTCGTGAGGGCTGAGCACTACCACTTCGGCGTTGCGTATTGTTCGACATGCCTCTGAAACATGAGAGAAGAGATAGCAGGGTTCCTTTAAGAGAACCGCTTTAGACGAGTACCGACAGGAAGCCAGAGGACAGAAGAATGATTCCGGAAATGAGGCACTGTGCTGATCTATGATATGATGCAGTAAGCCTTGGGCAGAAGTGAAACTTCGCACCGCCTCTCGGGGTGGACTGCATTCACAGATCAAGCCCACTCGCTCAGGGTAGTATGAACCGACTGGATGAAAGGTCGTAAAGGAACCGTTGCTTAATGATAGTTTAGAAGCATAAGGTTTCCACGAAGTTTTGGATACTCTCCCAACCAATGGTGATGCAGCATTCTGCAACTCTGAAGGCGGCAAATAATTTGCTGTTGGGCTGCCATCTGCCGTTGAGCCGGAGACATTGCGTCTATCTTCGACATGTGTTACAACATTCGGATTGCCTGATTGCTGCTTCTTGGAGAACAGGAAAAGTGCTGCGGAAGTATGTGGTCTATCATCCTTGGTTGAGTTGGGCTGGACTAAAAGGGGCTCATGGTCTGTTGCGCCATCTGGGTTAACTAATGACGGCTCTTCGTAATCATCTTGAAATGAGAATTCGCGGGGAGGAAGGATGGAGATTGACGGCGTTGTGCTTGGTTCGAGCTGGCCATAGTCTGGGTAGAGTCAGGTGTATAAAAGTCACCTCGCAGAACATTGCAACCTACAAGGACTAGGCACCTCCACTTCACGATCGAGCTTATTCAAGTACTGGTATGCTTCTCGCCATCTATACTCCGCTCTGCCACGAGAAGTCGTTTCGTACGTGCGGTCTTTCATTGTCTTCGCCAAAGAAAAGTCCTCCTCGGAAATGTGGCCACGCTTCAGGTGCATCTTCAAATGATCCTAGACTCATGTTAGGTCGTTTAGGGTATATGATTGTGGAGACAGGGATTCGCACCGAGAACAAGCGGTGTATGTCTGCGGTGCACCAACCGGCGCACCCTTTCGGCCCACCGTACCGCCGAGCGTCAAATTTGTATAAAGGACAAGCAAAATAGAGGCTGCTTGTTGCTGATTCATACTGATGATATGTTCTAGGCTTTTTAGCTCGAGGGGATCCTGTTGTCATCGGTCTTTTGTTTGCGCTATTAGGGCAAGTTGGACTACTGGACGGTAACGACCTCTCCATAGGAAGCGCTCAGATGTTGTGAACTCGAAACTGATGGACCTGGCTATAGATGGACTTCAAAGCGTGATTTCCTGCAGTTCGGTTTTCCAACGGCCTTGTTCAGTCCGATTCTGTTATAACCGTATTAGATGCCCGAGGATGGACGGAAAATCAGGATGGACGGAAAATCAGGATGGACGGAAAATCAGGATGGACGGAAAATCAGGATTCAAATAGAGTAACAGCTGTACATGTAACACTGGCTGGCGACTTATAGCTGATGGTCTTCATGTTAATGGGCAGGCTGCGCTGTTTCAGTCAGCTGAAGAAGTGGAGTAAGCAAGAGCATGGGCATCTTTCTATAAACGCTGTAACTGCTGCGCCTTGGTGTGGACCAAATTGCTTCAGGAACGACATTCGATAGGGAAGACACAAAAACCAGCAATAAGGCGTCCACTAACAAAGACAGGGTATAAGGTGCGGAAGGCATCCGCAGATGTCTATCTGCAGGTCAGGCGAAGACAGTATAGGATGAACAACACTCTGACAGTGGGTTATGATGCATACCTCGGGTCTCCTGCACGTTTCCCCGCGGTAGATCCCCACGTGGCTAGGGTAATAATGCCCGGATGTGCATCCATTGCCCGACAGCTCAGCCCGCGAAATATCGCAATGTCATGTGTAAGCAGATGAGATGAGATTTAGGTAATTGTTCCGGGAGCCCGGTGGTGCCGGAATAAGTTCAGTGACGTGGACTGGGGGAGACGGGAGACAGGGCCGGCCTTCGACTACTAGTACTCGGTTCAGGGGACAAGCACTAGTAGTGGGTAATGATTACATAGTAACTTAGTTGCCTGTGCTTCAGCTAGTTTACAGATGCCAGATTGGTCATTGGTCCTCTTTCCAACCGCCGCCAAGATTACCTAACCAAAATACTTAAGACATTTATTAGCGTCACTTCCCCATACTTTGCCGGACGCAGCTGCGGTCTTGGCGCTCTGAAACGGCTGGGACCGAAGGACCATCCCAAGACAGCCACTAAGTTAAGGCTGGGACGGAACTGAGCCGCTTCCGTCTCTCCCCCGGTGTAGGGCCTTGGCGCCCATGGGGCTATTTCCTCCGAACTTTGTATTTTGATTCTTTGAGCTGATTAGCCTTTCATCATCACGTCCAATCTCATGCCTCCAACAGGCCGTTAAGAAGCTGCATGAAGTGATCTGGGTTTGCCAGCAGGCTCCCAAATGCTTTCGCCCCTCTGCAACCAATCTCATAACGTGCTCGTGGTCTTCAGCATTGCTCAATGACCCCTCCTGACAAGTGCAGTGACATGGAAGGCTTCCGGTGTCGAGTTTCTTGCAAGTGTTCAATCGTACAACGCTGTGTTGATCGATCATCCTGTGCAAGCTTCAGGAAGACAGACACCGCAAAGGTCAAGTTCCGAAGCTTTGGAACTACGAACTTTCGCAAGTCATGGTAACCTCAGCACACTGTTCCTGTCCCATGCCCTTGCCAGTCTACAAATGCAGTGGCCGTTGCCATTGCTCTATTCATTCCTCGTATTACGTCTGATTCCCATTCATTTCTATTTGAGAGTATTGCAAATTGTCACCTGCTGGGCAGAGAATGCCCCTGCTCCCCACCGACACAACATCAAAAAAAAAACGTTGTCAGATTACAGCCATCTACGAAGCTCCATCCGACCCAAGATTTCTTCATCCCCGTGATGGAGTTCAACTCTGGCAGGATATTGCACCGAGGTCACCTTCAATCAGCCTTCATTTGCGAACAGTACGCTGTCCTGCAAACAAAGGGCTTTGCTGTGAGCTTCCAACACCCACCTATTTGATGATTTGCCTTGTTCACTTTTGGGTACAGGTATCTCATTCTCAGGCCGAGTCTCAGTCATCGCCCTGCCTTGGTCAACATAGCATTATCGAGCTCGAACTCCCCAGGTATCAGTCGATTCAACAGCCAAGAATACTGCCGGCAATGACAGGTCTTGTTAGGAAGTTCGACTGGCTTAACCGACCTACCGAAGTGTTACACCCTTCAACCACGCACTACACCTCAACACAGTGCCCGATCCTCAACACTTCAGCTCTAGTCTATATCATCATCTTACTTACTCTCTTATCGATACTCATCGGGGTTTTGGTTGGAGTGTTCGCTCACAATGCTTCCCTGGGCATCGCCGCAACCAGTGCCTTTGCCGCTATTTTGTCATCTATCGCTGGTACACTACTATTACGCTCTCGTCGCCATGATCAATAACACAGTCTGTCTCACTGATGCACGGTAGCATCCATAGACGCGTACCATTTCCAAGAATACTATTGCAATTAGACAAAAGCTTCGGAGCAAGACAGCCTTTACATTCAGCGCCTGTTCTACCGGAACGCTACTTCACAAAGAGCCCTGCCAAATGATGCTAGGTCCATTGCATCAACAGTAAACATTCCATTGGCAGTGTCACGTGCACGCTCCGTTGGCGCTGCCTTGGCGCTGCTTCTTAGATTAGCTCTTGCTGCTCATCAGCTTTCTCTCCTCCATCCACTACGTTAGAATCAATCAAGTAACTCGATCCGTTGCAGGCAGGCAGTGATAGATCTTTACATCTATTCTTTTATTTGCTCCACCTCCACCTCCACCTCCACTCCACTCCCATCTTGCACTTTCTATCTCCTCTTTTCCCTTTTCTTCGTCAACAAATCTTGCTTGTTTATCCTACCCAACTCCGCTTTCACCTCTATTGTCCAGTGCCTTAGGCTGTACAAGATTTCTCGGCTCCCCGTTCCAGCCCTGCTTTATATTCCCACTGGTGTCAATAACACTATGCCAACACGTCCTCTCAATCTGTAGACCAACTCAACGACTCGAATCGTCCACAGTCACTTTGGCTTCGCTTCTGCTGCACTGCTCATCCTTCACCACAACACCTTGAACCGTCATCCAAGATTTAGCGTTGCTATTTCGTCATCCAACGCCCTATCCTCGCAGCTCTTACCAAAGTCTCATTCTGTCACGAACCATTTCCGGAACAAATCCATAAGACGCCCCTTAACCTCTTGGCTGACCAAGGCATGCTGTTGTCTCATCAGTCATTGGGCTTACTTAGTCATCGCGGGCTTGCCAGTCACCAGACGTCTGACTTATGTATTGCTCTTTCAAATTTTATTGAGCCCAGCGTCGGGTCCGAGTATGAAAGCTGACCTCGTTCCCTGATGTTCTCGAGTCGGTGATCTCTGAAACTCACAATCGGACCAAAAGAAGAAAGCCTCGATCTTGTGCCTACCTCCCTTCCTCTCACCTGGGCCAAATCTGGACTCCTCATAGGCTGAATGTGCCTCGGTTGAACATGGTCCAGTCGTATGTCCACTTGCCAAGGAATTTGAGTCGAAGACGATTGAAAGCCCAGCAAGGGCCCGGTTTCTTACTCGGATAGTCTGCGGGTAGGCCCGCTTTGTCATGCGGTGTCTTGGGTTGCTGTGTGTGGCGACTTTGCAGGTACCGGCTTGGCGAACTTTTGGAGGTGCGAACATAGTAGTCGAGGCGCGACGTGAATAGGAAAAGTATGAACTATACCATTATACATAATATAATTCACAGACATGTTTCTAACTTGATTCACCAACTATTCTGCCAAACAACTTATGGGACAAACTGAGTGTGCCAAACCTCGCCTCTAGCTTGGGCTGGATTCTATCTGATTTATCCTCTCCGCAGGCAGCGTACAGCAGAGACAGCGAAAGAATAATCTTGATATTTTATTTGGATTTTAGCTACAAACTACGTTATGTCAACCAAACCAGGTAGAAGAAATGGCTCTGTTCTCTCTCAAAAAAAGGCGCAGGGCACGCAGAAATAAGTACAAGTTGCAGCGAAATTAGCTGCGAGATTGCGGCAGAAATTGACCAATCAAAAGCAGGGGAAACGTTGGATTTGCAAAGAAATAGCGTCTGACACATTACAATTGCACCATTATCATTTCTCGAATTCCATTACAATATAGGGTAAGGTTGAATATCATTCTCTCTTGAGTATGAAATGTGGCCGGTTAAATCGACTGCACGGGTTGTGACAGAAAAGGTGAAGAGACGGTGCGAATCGCGACACCCACCAGCCCCTGTTGGTTGAGAGGTGGGGGATTGTCATTGGTGGCTATGATAAGCTTATTTTGCAGCACTGCACTGCTGCCAGCCAATAACACACAGGGAATTGTGGATAGGTACCTCAGAGGTGAGATCCTAATCACATTACAGTACAATGCCTTATAGTACAATACACACCGTTGAACGTCCAGAACCAACAGCAGGCACTATGCTAGCATCCACGGGGACTGGGATTGATCGCCCTGTCCAATACTTGCCTTATTCTCCCGTCGAAGATTTGGATGTGGGGATGCACTAAAAGTCAAATGATCTAACTCTTTTGGAACTGCTCATACGCTGCTTAAATGCTGACTAATGCCAGACTACCAAAGCTGCACATCTCCAGAGTCATCCATCAAACGTCATCAATGTACGCTAAATTAGCACAATTCATCTGAGCTTTAGCGCTGCATAAAAATTGTGCCTAAAGGAGCGAGCCCTTAGAGCTGCTGTTGGGACCCCCTTATTCTAGAGACCGCCAGAGCAGCCATCCGCCCCCTGTGACCATACCTACGCCCCTAGCACCTAGGAATAGTACGCTAGTGCAAGAAGGGCTAGATATCCCTCATCTTAGCATATATTAATCACATTTGATGCACGACTCTGGACAACACTGCAGTGAATCAAAAGACACATAATCATTGGCTGAGCTGGCTGATAGGAAAGATAGAGAACAGGATTTCTTGGCCTGCCCTGACACTGATTGGTAAGCGAAGTGATGAGGGGGTCATTCTCATCAATGCTATTATTTATCACGCAATCAATGGTGTGACAGGAGTATCAACATATTTAAATCGTCTCTCTCCTAACAATTTGCTTCTCCTCATCAGCAATGCAATTTCTCACCTTCCATTAAGACAAGTAACGAACATCCAACGACATGAGCAGCATCACCAAAGTGGCGTTGGCCGGGGTAAGAAAATGCTCAATCATCCCTCCCAGCTCACCGTCTTATTTCCACTTCCGAAAGAACTGACAACAAGTCGTTACCCAGGCCACTGGCAACCTTGGCCCAGCTATTCTCGATGGACTCCTCAACGCTGGCTTCAAAGTCACAGTCCTTACTCGTAGTAGTAGCACTCACAGCTTTCCCCCCTCCGTCACTGCCATCTCGGTGGACTACAACTCCCTCGACTCCCTCACCAACGCTCTCAAAGGCATAGAAGCCGTCGTCTCTGCCCTTCCCTACACCGGTAACCCCGCTGATGTCACCACGAATCTTCGCTTGGTAGAGGCTGCGGCCAAAGCCCATGTCAAGCGCTTCATTCCCTCCGAGTTCGGTAGCGACACCCTTAATGAGAAGGCCCGTACTCTTCCCGTCTTCGCGGGCAAAGTCGCGGTCCAGGACGCTCTCAAGAAAGAAGCAGCCACCGGCGGCATGACCTACACCGTCGTATGCACGGGCCCTTTCCTCGACTGGGGCATCATGGTCGGCTTCATCATGAACCTCAAAGGAAAGAGTATCAGCCTATGGGACGGCGGTGATCGCGTCTTCAGCGCCACATCCCTCCAAGCTATCGGCAAGGCCACCGCCGGCGTTCTTAAGCAGCTCGAGCAAACTAAGAACCGTGCCGTGTACGTGCATGAGACTGCCACGACGTTGAAGAAGCTGGCGACTATGGGCAAGCATGCCACTGGAGCAGATGGATGGCAGGAGAACGTTGTGTCTATGGATGAGCAGCTCGAGATGGCCTGGGCAGAGCTGAAGAAGGATCAGCCAAATCCGGATAATTTTGCATACAACTTCATCAAGGCGTCCATCTGGGGTGAGGGGTTTGGAGGTCATTTTGAACGCCTGGACAATAAGTTGTTGGGTATCAAGGAGATGGGCGATGCTGAACTGCAGGACCTGGTGAATAGTCTAGCAACAAAGTAGGAATTTGATGCTGGTGGACGCTTGGCCTAAATAAGCCACTGTCGCGTGGAGACGAGAGGTGTGGCTTTCTTCTGCATGTTTGGGCACAGACGAGATATTCTATTCTTTTAGGAATACACGCTAAATTAGTCTCAATCATTCGAAACTGGATCTGTCTACTCTACTCCGTATGCCAGAATGATGGCGAAGAGCATGTTGATGGCTACCATTGACAAGGCTACCATTGCCAGGGTTACCATGCCCCATGATGGCTTGGGCTGGGTCCCGGGGAACAAGACAGGCGACGGAGAAGGCATTCGCACTACTTGTACCAGAAGAAAGATGCCCAAACTCATGAAGCAGACGAGGATGCAGAGCATAAGAAATGCCAAACAAAGCTGCTTTCTAAATTTTAAGGGATAGTGTTGGTTCTTTGGCAACCTTTGATTCCCAATGTGCAAATCCGGCAAAGTGGATGACCGCCAGTATAAGAAGGGCGATCTCCTAAGGGCTATCCCAACCGGCGAGTGGTGTTTGGCTGCGAAGACGTTAATCTCTAATGCTTGGGAGGTATCCACAAGAAATCTGGGGCCAAGTAGAGCAGTTGTGCAAGCCGACAAGGTCGTCCAAAGCTCGCAACAAGAATTCGATATGCTTGACACAATTAAGCTTCGCAAGTTGTTTTTCATTGTCAAGCTGAGCAAATTTCCAACGATGCTCCTGCTTTTCGTGCTTGTGCTTGTATCGTCCGATAACTCTTTCCATGGCCGAGCTTGCAATGCTGGAAGAGCCTCCCTCATTCCCTTCCCAGTAACCCTAGCTGCCGTTAGATGAAATGTTACCTATGACCCGTTGGCGACTTTCTCTTCTCAATCATGTCATACTGGATGCGTGGTGCCGTCTCCCTCTTGCTCCCTCTCTCGTGCTCCTACGCAACGTGTTGCTCCTTTCTTGATGCCGCTTCCCCTCTCCATCAGGAAAGTACACCTTCCATTTTCCCACCATTCAGATAGGCTGCTCGCCCTCTTCTCCCCCTACTTTTCTTCGTCATTCCTCACATATCTTCGCAAGCTGTCTTCGACTGCACACCGTCTCCGGCCTTGGTCCATGTTCATATAATCCTTCCGTAATTCAGGTCTTTCCATCATCTTCATTACCATCATCATTATTATCAGCCTGATTCATTCATCCTCGGAGCTACAACCCGCATTCCACTGACTCTTGGTGCATCTAACGCAGCTGAGGTATGTGCCATCGACTTCTTCATGACAACTAGCTAACCATCATCGCTCAAACAGTTTCGTTATGTCTCGATCTTCCATACTTCCGTTACATACCTCCCTTGCCTGTCTGGATCACCAATTTATGCAGCTTGGAAGAATCGATCTCATCATCAATATTCAGTTGAGGGAAATCCTTTGCCTGCGAATGGTATGGGAGACATGACACGTCTTGTCTACCCATGATGGTTCAAACCCTGATCAAGGCGTTCGGATGCTGGCTCAAAATCCTGGTCGAGACACTTGACTCTGCAAGTTGCAACCTCACTCAGTCAGCGACTGACCCTTTTTGGGTCTTTTCTAGGTCTTCCCCGTCCGTCCCACTCCTTTTGGGCGGTTCGAGGCACTGCTATATGTTGCGAGAGGATGGACTTCGGTTGACCTGTTGGTTGCATGCGTTGCTGACTGGTTGTTATGGGGGTTTGTGTGGTTTCATCTTTTGTGTAGCTTCCGAGGAGATAAGTAGCTGCAATGAAATTTTCCTACATGAATCATGCATTCTTGAGCCAAGTTCACCAAGTCTTCCCATTTCCAAATGATGTTTGGACGGGTACAGCTCGCCTGCCTCGAATTGACGAATCTTCGAGTTCTACCGGTTCTCATAGTATACACCACTATTGTGCCGCTGGCTCACGTTCCTTTCTCACCAGTAGCTGTGGATGGTCGCGCCATAGTTTTATCCTTGTAAAGCCTCCGGTGAACACGGTGCACTTTCCTCGTGTACACTTTCCGCCCATGAAATTGCGGTTTGAGCGCATTTCGAGCTCCTTCATGAGCCCAACGATTACGGACGTCGCCGGCATGGCCTGGAACCTATTGAGGATGCATCTGACACCTAAGAGACTAAGTGCTTCAATCATCGCGTTGGCATGCCTCATTGGTGACCGCTGACCTGGCGTTCTGCCAGAAAGCCAGCAGCTGTCTAAAGAGTCCAACACCTGCTGACTATCTGTGAATATATTCACCCCCTTCGGCATCGGCCAGTGAATAGTAGCCGCCTGACGCTTTATCTTCTCAGCCGCCCCTGGCATTTTTATTCTTGCCTTGGTGACGACAGTTCCGGAGATGCGCTCACATTGGTCGACGGCCATCTCTAAGGCTTGCGCCACTGCAAGCATTTCAGCGTGCCCTATTTGATGGGCGTTGCGTGCCACAAAACAGCTTTGCCACCATGTGATAGGAAAGTCTCGATCACTAGGGTTGCTGTTGTCGAGACGACGGTGTACGACGCAGAAGCCGCACCCGTCAAGCTTGATAGGTTTGGGCCCCCGCAGGCAAGCATCTGTCCAAAATGACCATTCGTGTGGTGGCAAATGAGGCTGGAGACGAGCCGCTGTTTGAGAGCTGAGAAGGGCATTTCCTTGGGGTAAGATCGTCCCCAAGGGCCTAGCCGGGATTTGTGGCTGTTCTTCCGAAATGACGTTGGGTTCACTGGGCTCCTGGACTCCCATGTTATCAGACTTCGTATCCCCTATCTCTTGCACCGCTTGTTCTCGCGTCTGACTTTCTCTTGATGAGTTCTCCGAGCCCGGAAGCCCCTGAAACAGGTGGTGTTGGTCTTCAACCCAAAGATTTGAAGATGATAAGGGCACGTTGGGAATGTGGAGAGACATGATTTTATGACTGTCAGAGAAGTGGCGGGCAAGAAGATATCGCGTTGCAAGAAAACTAGGGTAGTACAGTCGCTGGTCCAGAGAGGTGATGGAAGACTTGAAAGTTGTTGCGCAATAAGTGATGATGCATCGTGTGTGGATATATATACGTTTGCTTACCGCCAAGGTCCTCTGGATATTGTACAATTATACTCTGGTGAGGACCTTCTCCCAGGCACCAACGATAGGTCAACCGTGGTTGACCGCGCAAGGTGGGTCGGAGACGTTGAAATACATTTCAAGTAAAAGTTGCGCACGTGTACAAGATGATCTCAAGCCGGGGTGAAGTGAGGTTGAGGCAGATGTCTTGAAGTTGGTGACTTAGCGGCGAGTAGCTTTGCACCAGGATTTTGGAAATATCCATATTTGTCTTGAGGTTTAGTGCAGCTTTATTCTTCTCAGTCTCTAAAAGACGATGAGAAGCTCTCACCTTGGCTTCAGCTTTTGTCATGCCTGAGTTTGCCTTGCTGCGGGCAGCTGGGTTTAACGTGGATGATGTGCAGAAGACGAGGTGACCTGCTTCGATGGAGCAACCGCTGACCCTCTAGATTCTTCGAACTGGCGAGAAGATGTCGGTGTTGCCTTCAGCTGCGAGCCAACAACTGCGCCGTCGAAGTCATTCCTTGTGTGCTGCCATTCGTTGAAATTATCTTTAGCCTTTTGGACCACCACGATGTTCCCCACGTCATTACCCGAGTGTCCCTTCAGCGCATTGGCTCTTGATGCTGCCCATGCTTTCTGTAAGCTGGGCCATTCTTGAGCCTTTTGCTTATCTTGATGTCTTTGAAGCACCAAAGCGTGCAAGCCTCTTGTAATACTGACGTTCAACGGGACAAAGCGAAAAACAGATGTGCTGTCATGGGAACTTAGAGTCCATTGGTGCTACAGCGATAAGAGCCTTACTGAAATTGGATAGAAGGGAATTGTGTGACGTTCTGCGGCAGGGGGCAGCGAGCGTCGATATACGTACAATTTCGCCGTACGGTACGGAGTACTGCGAAATTGCATTAGAAATGGACCAATCAAAAGCAGGCGAAACGCAGGGGGTTATGCGTAGAAAATCCAACCAGTGAGCGCTTACAGCGTTTGACAGGAATCGACTCAAGCTCATTCTCAAACTTGGGCATCCCGAAAATCTTGATCATTCGATTGTCCGTAGGACCGCATCGCCAGCCTGCGAAAGTAAACAGATTCCCGGATGAGCATCAAGCAAATTGAAGTGGTCCATGTTCAAAAGGTATTTCCAGACCTGCTAGCCCCCACTGCGAAATTAACAGGGATCCGCCGCTACTTTCCCGAGCAGGACACAAACGCTGTTCCTACGTCATATCGATTTCAGTAACTCGAAGCTTTACACACCACACAGCGGGGGCATTATCATACTACTAACGTATTAAATACATCTTCTCCGGGGACCGGAGAAGACACCTACCCGCGCAGGATCTCGTACTCAAAACGCATTTACCACGTTCACACTAACCTAGTTAGGGGTGGTTGTGCCAATAATTATTTCGGCGTCGCCGCCGCAAACGTCCCGTTCCTTTCCTAGCTAGCGTGGTGTTAATCCAGCCAAGAAGAGAATGCAGTCACAAAGCTTACCAGAGATAGAACATAATGATGCTCGGTGGGCTGTGCAAGCAATAAATACTAGGCGATGTGGTCTGGGACTTTGACCACATCTAGTAATTCGGTACTATGATCAAAGGCTCTCTGCTTGAGTAAGTGAAGCCTGGCGGTACGCCTCAGGGCGCCTTTATTTTTCTCCACCCTTGCATGTAAATTCAGTTGATGATTGGAATTCTGTGACAATTCTCACATGACAAACAAATGCTGCAACGCATAATATTACTACTTGCTGTTGGCTCGTCCAACGTCGCTGCGCAGGATTCGTGTACCACGAGTTCCTGTATCTGTCGTCTATCCCCTCTCGTGCATGAGATCTCATCATCCTCGAAGCAGAAGTGAAGAGAGCCTAGTTCGCAGGAATTATTGTAAGATAAATTGGACAAGGTGGAAAGGCTATTTGATGCTAGTGGCACAAATTCGACCCCATGTGCTAGCCGGCGGGTGAAAGTTTTGACTCAACTAGATTTATTGGAAGGAACGAAGTCCGACCCTGACTGTCTACCAAATACATCAATTAGGACTGGAACAAATGAGAAGCACCCTGTAATTAACATCCGTCTTCTGAACCTCCAGCGAAGCTTCCTGGAGTTCTGGTGTAATATACGAAAGAATGTTCAATCAATGCAGCAAGAGTGGAAGAAGTGACACAATATGCCGTTGAGCTCGATCAAGTAGTAGTTATTAGCAGATTTGTTGTGAGTCGGGTAGCCAACCACCAGCTGATAGTCTGCTTTGATTGCGCATAGCGATTCGCTTAGCAATGTTTACCTAGACATTGTACACACCACACGGACTGATGTTGGCCACAGCAACCACAACAAATGTGTGATGTTGGCTGGCGTGATGTGCTGGAAGAAAGCGAAGGATTCGAAGGCCAAGGCTGAAAATTGAAATCGGTCGAGCTCTGATCACCGTTATAGCCAAAACCAGAAGAGTTACCTTGATGCGTGAAAGCTGGTGTGTTCTGAAGCCCTGTTTCGAATGCCTCCATAGCGAGAAGTCGGCCATTCGATGTCCATGAGTTGCCGGCACCTATACCGGAGGAAGACTGGATATTACTAGCTATTGTCGAGCTGGGAGTGGTCGGAATTGCTCTTCCCATCTCGCTCACACCTCTTTGATCACCTGCAACTGACTGATTCTCATCGATGGCTATCCCTGTCCTCCCACCTGCTTCAGCATATTCTATACTAGTCTCAGTCGACATGTCAGGACCCTGACCATGAAGGATGGATTCCAATCGGTTTTCAATCGACTGACGACGCTGACTCATTTCGCGTCTGACCTCATCCAATTCCTCATTGCAAGCGAGACGTTCATGCAATTTCTTCTCTCTCGCAGCCTCTTTCGACTTCAGTATTTGAGCGTCAAGATCTATTTGGATTTGATCGAGGTCTAGCTCAGCATGCACCCGAATCTGAGTCTCTTTTTCAGCACGCTCCATGTCAAGCAGTTTGATGTTTTCCACTTGTTCAAGAGCAGCAGCGGTAAGCTCCGCAATTGGCAGATTGTGGCCCCTGCCTGGCAATGAAGCTGAGAACTCTTGCTCGTGGTAATCTACTTCGAGTTAGCAGACGTGAGGAAGGGTACGTCCAGCAGCGTTAAGAAACACCTACATGGGTTCTGTATGCCAGCCTGATCATCAGGGAACAGTAGAGCGTACATCTCTCTGTAGCGGGCGGCACCTCTGAGATTTTTGGTTTCTTTCAACCGTAGCCACATAGTGGCATCAATGTCATTATCTCGAAGATGCTTGTTCCCGATATGATCCTGCATAGATATATTAGTGAGTTTGGGAATATGCGTCATTAGTTCTTGGGATCATGTAAGAGATGCTAGAACGACCCACCCTCAAAAGATTGCCAACTTTCTCGTGAGAATATTCGCGACATCCGCCACGTCCACCATACTTTCGGGGATCGTGCTTGAAGAACGGACAAGCAAATTCATTCTGCTTTCGGGGACCCTTCCCGCGCGATTTCCTGCCCTTAGGTTGCTTGTAATTCTCGCCGTCGTCCTCATCCTCCTCCCTGTCTGAGCCCCGAGATATCTGACGCAGGCGCTTGTGGTTTGGTGGGTCAAACTGCTCACTCCTAGCTTTGTCTTTGCTGGTCTTCTAGCTATCACGTTCTTGCTGCCTGCCGTCCTCCGCTCCATCACCTGGGGCAAGAGTGATTGATGCGTCCTGGTGCGCGGGCGACAGCTTTGCGAAGAGCATGGAGATTGTATTGACTTCCTCTGAGGCAACATCGCTGTTTGGTGACGCCCCACACACAATTGGAGTACGGATTTCGTCTCCCAAATGACCTGACTCACCTACTGCTGCTTTCCTAAATACAGAACCAACATGGATTGTGAGAAAAGATCTGTTGATAATCTGTTTTGCCGACTGGTCCTCGTAGAGGCCTAGAGCTGCTGCAATAGGGAAAATAAACTTCTCGAGGCCGTATGTCCTGTCAATGGCTTTCTGGGAACAAGTTATCATGTCACCGATCTCAGCAAGTATAGGCGAAGTATCCAAGGGCGACTCGATTTGATTCGAAGCAATGACTTGCGTTTGCGAAGCTCGTGTAAACACGTCAATAAATTTTTTAGAACACGATTGCTTGAGATCAATTCCGTGATGTGCTGATGAGGATAGAGTCCCGCGAAGCTCACGTTTGTTGTCTGGTTGCGGCTTGGTATATGTGCGCGCTTTCCTGGGCAGAGAGTATCGAGGTAGAACGACTGTATCCATGATGACGATTGACTAGGTCTTCGTGTCGTTAGTCATGTTCCAGAGACCCCAGCAAGATTGCTAGTTCCAGCCTCGCTCTCAGTGAAAGTAGGCCGAGTGAGTGTAACTGACTCTTGTGGACCAAAGACAATGGGTAGCATGAAAGCTGAGTCGGACGACCCTCCGAGAGGGTACGGTACGATTCTGAGGTAGAAGTGTCACATGATATAGCGATGGATCAGTAGACCAATCTAACAGCAAATGTGGCACGGTAAAGGACAACAACGAGCGTTGCAAGGAGTCTCCTTCGCTGGGAGGATAGCGACTGAAATACATGTCGCAAGAACAAATGCAGCAGGAAATCGCGTAGCCAGCGAATAGACCTCTGAACTGGCCCAAGATGTGAAAAATCCTAGTACGATGGAAAGGCAATCTTGAGAAGTGTCGCAAACTCAATTACTTGGCCAAGCATATTGGAGTACACCATATGCCATCCCCAAGTTGACCTGACTACTGGAAGACAAGTGACGTTGTGGAGAACGGGAACAGCGCGGAGCCGCATTGCAGACCCAATGAGTCACATTCTCAGCAAGTCAGGTTCTGCATTTGGCAAACATGAGTGGGGTTTTGCATCAAGCTGCACCGCAGTGAGCGCACACTTGACAGAAATTGCAATGTCTTTTCGGCACAGATATGCGATGTTGGATTGGGGGTGGCACTAATCCGCCTAGCGTCAGGTATCCAGTCAACGGGAAGCCGGTGTCGGTAGGTGAAATGATGCCTTTCCGTTTTGAGGATAGCACCTGTAGATCCGAATGGATAGTGACATCTTTCCAGATCTCGGTCTGGGCATTCTTGGCTTTTCCTAGGCAACAACATCTTGCCTGTCTGCTGAATGACAGGCCATAAATAACACCCCGTGGGCAGCCGATGCAGACTGCGGGACGTTGCATGAACCCTAATTGGATCAAAGAATAAAGACGGTGAGGCACTAGCCTGTGTGCACGAGGCCCACGATTGCTGTGGTTTGCCGTGCCGCTGCTGGAAGCAATGATGGATGTTTTAAGTTGCCGATGCCGCCCAGACATGAGATTCCTGCATGCTCGGACCAATACGTGCATCCCAGATAGACGGCGACTCTGTCTCCAAGAGTGATGCATCAACTCCATGCCCATCGAGAACTAAACAAATCAAGTGGCCACTTCAAGCCTATCCAGGTCTTAGGCCCAGTCCGTGTATGCGAGGGCCGCCCAGAAGTAATGAGATACAGATACCAGAATTAGATTAGATTAGTACAAGCGCATTGCAATGCATGATACGTTACCTTTTGTATATCTTCACCAACTTCTTGGGTTTTAGTATTAATTACATATCTAATACAATATTCAAATTGTATACTTCTCATCCATGAAAAGGATTGAAGAGATACAATAGCACATCGAATAGGATAGAGAACCTCTTAACGCCCTGAGACCGTCCACGAGCCATGTTTGAATGATATAACATTAAGGATATGTACGAGATAGCTATAATATGGAGAGCAAATTCAGCTCTAACGGAGAGGATCTATGACATCTGATTGGTCAAATAGCCTGCCCACACACTATCCCTCTAGGGCAATATCTCTTTATTCTGGACGCCACGTCGTAGTACTCTACTACTTACTCCTGCGTTCATTCATGCGTTCCGCATCTGGACGTCAGGGCCAGCGAGGCTGCTCCTGCTTCCCGCGGCGATGATCTGGCACTATAGGCTCGACGAGCAAAGATTCAGGGAACAGAAATCGAATCAGAGTGTGATTGAAGTGTGTAGTAAGATTCGAGCCGCTCAATGGGCGCCAAGGGGGCACTAAAACTGTAACTGGTAATATATGCATGTCAAGCCCGCCTGTCATGCAGGCGCCCGGCATGAACTTGCACTTCCATCCACCTGCGAACCAGCTTCATGGGTACAATTATGTGGCGTTGGGAAAACATGTTGATCTCTATGTGATAAGGAATTCCCTCGTGGGATATCTGTCCGGAAGCTAACACAGGGTGTCTCCTACGCACATACTTTGACTACTTGCAGGGAGAAGGGGTTTCTGAAAATGATGTCCTATTAATCCTTAGTGAATTAACATACTATGTATATACTGTCATTATCAAGACAATCAAAGCACGTCACAATGACTATGATAGCACTGTGCTAGAGCAATAATTTCGAGAAAGGAATCAAAAATAAACACAATTTTATTACATATTGAAGGTTTCTACTTCATGTTCTTACACGAGTTAAACTGTATAAATGATCAGGCCTGAACTAAGCAAAATCTGATGGTATCAAGACATAACTTAGGAGACTCCTTTCTGGTCAGTGTGTAGCCTCCCTGTGCCTATCACCCAACAATGTTTGGATAAAACGACTCTACCATCAAATATGAATATCAAACTCCAAGCAAAGCACCATCCCATTTTCTTAGCTTCTGCAGACCCATGATAGTTAAGTTTCTACATGATAGATTTTGTCCAAGCCAACATCTGGACATGCACAGGTTCAACGCAGTATTTCTTTCATTTCTGTCTGAGTATTAGCCGGCCCACCAACTAAGGCAGGCTCATTGGCCCCCCTCGTTCGGTCAACCACTTTTCGCGCTTCCTTCCTCCTCCGCCGCATGCCCCTTGCCATCAGCCGTGGCCGTCATCTCCTCCAGCTTCTTGTGCGGAATCTTCGTTTTCAACCCACTCTCTATCCTCATCTCGCTCTCTCCTGTGCCCACGTGCTCTGACTCCTTCCCTTGCCCTGCTGAAACATTGACATCGTCATTTTCAAATCTTGAGCTGGTTTCAACACTTGTGATGGGCATTTCCTTCTCCGAAGTTGGTTCTGCGCTAGCATTTGTAGCCAAGACATCCTCGCCGACCGACTTCACTGTCCCGATGTGTGGTTCTTGAGCTGGAGCCTTTTGGAGTGGTTCGCCACTAGCTGTCAACCTTGCCGTAGAAGCTTTTGAGAGCGCGCCGTGCTCCACGGCACTCACCGTGTTGTTTTCATTGTTGTCAGGACCCAGGCTGCCTGTCTCCTCATTCTTGCTGTCGGCTCTGCCGAGTGGTGAGCTACCAGTAGTCCCACTGTTGGCTACTACCTGTTTCGAAAGGCTAGAGAACCCCTCTTTATTCTCGTGGACAGGGGTGCCAATACTCTTACTTAGTGGGTCAGACTTTTCGGTGCCTGGTGTGGCAATAGCCGAATCCATAGGGCTAGGATCTGCACTATCGCCAGCAGTGTTCAGTGCTAAACCCGTGGGCCCCATAGCTTTAGGCGCATCAGCTGGACGAGCAGAGGCAGCGGCTGTGGCATTCAAGTCCCCATCGTCCGGTAGCACTTTAGGTAGTGGCTTCTGTGGGTTTGAGGATGATCGCTCAAGACTGTGGACTGTCAGTCCATCGTATTCGCCAATGGACCACAATGGCATGGGTGTAGCAATGCTAAATTTTGGAAAAGTAACTGAAGGTGTCTCGACGTAACTGCTGGGTGACTTCGCTGGTGCTCTTCGCTGTGGCCCCCTTGCACGGCCTTTACGAGCATCAGACAAGGGTAGGGCTTCCTTCGCCACCACAGGTTCTGGCTCTTTCTCTTTGACTGGGGGACGAGGACCCAACTGAAGACGTTGGTTGAGATCAGACATGAATGCTGTTGGAAGGTTGACCTTGGTTCCTACCGGTCTCACAGGAATGGCAGGCTTAGGTTTTGGCAGTGTTGTGGAGGTAACAGTGTCTTGGCTGCCAGACGAGGTTGTGGATAATGTCTTCGTCAAAGCTTCCAACGATTCTTTCTTTGTAGGACGAGCCGGGATCTGAGGCTTTGGCCTGTCTGGAAGGGAAGGTCCTTTTTTCGCCTCGGTAGGTGAGATGTTCTTCTCCGAAGTTTGTGGCGGAGGAACAGTGATGTCTGTGAATTTGTTAGTAGGCGGTGGGACTGCGTGCGCTCGCTTTGGAGGTCGAGCTGGAACTTGAGGTTGCTTGACATCATCCGAGGGTGATAAGCTTGGTACGGCTGAGCCCTCGCCGACTTTGCTCCTATTCATAGGTCTTGGTGGTATCAAAGGCTTGTTTGGTGGTGCGCCCTCAGGGCTCTTTGCTTCTTCACTGGGAGGCGGCGGCGTGGCGACAGTCGTGACCAATTGCATACTGTCAGGCGTATCCTCCCAGATGTCACGACTTGGGAATCTTTGCTGAACGTTGGGTCGGGTAGGCATGTCATCCCGGAGATGTGGCGCAAATCGCGATTTGGCATGTCTTTCCTCTTTGGGGCTAAGTTTAGTCTTCTCAGCCTCGTCGACCTCATTTTTTCTGGCCGACTCAGCGCCAGAATCTTCGAATGTTTTTGACGATGACTCTGCATCTGTAGACTCATTTTGTGTTGCAACATCAGATGACGAGACAGTGGCAACGTGCATCGCGCTGCTTGGGGTATCCTCCCAGATATCCTGACTTGGGAAGCGATGCTTCAATGTGTCAGGACGCAGTTTGAATCTGTCTGCAGCATTCAGAGACCCTTTTGCGTTCTTGTCTTCGTCTGGGAAGAGTGGCTCATACTCATCCACATCCTCGAGGGGGGTGTGGAGGTCCTCCCGATCCTCGTGACGGGCCATGTATCGAGATAGTGAGGCACTGAAACCGTGAATGCTACCTGGGCGACTCGTCGGGCGTGATGTGGGCGTGATGTTGCCACTGGCATGGTCGTCTCCACCGTAGTAACCACTGCTCCTGCGTTCCTGCTTTGGTGAAATTGCTGGCTGCATGTACTCGGCTCCAATATCTTTTGCGACCTCGTCTGACGCGAGAATCGGAACGCCATAGCCGTTCTCATCAATGTAGCCGCCTTGATCAGGGGCGTTGCCTCCATTAGGGCCAAGGTCTTCTAATTCATTGATGGTCTCTTCACCGCCCGTCACCTTGTTGTATCGGCGAGCTGGATCATCCACATGAATAACATCATCTTCTGCTGCTTCACTATCGATATCGTCCGACCTTCCGGAAAGAGATCCTTTGGACTTGTCAAATTCACTCTTCTGGAAGAGGCCAGCGGGAAAGCTTGTTTTACGCAGCGGCGACTCTGTCGCGTGCTGCGAGCTATTTGAGTGTAGCTTGTGTAAATGGCCACCACCTTGTGAAGGCGACGCGATACGCGACGAATATTGATCAGAAGCAAGATACCCGATCTGCTCATCAGGATAGCTCATGACCCCTTCGTTGGTACCTAAAGGAATTAGCTTAAACACCTTCACGCGCTAGCAACAATCTCCCGCCTACCAAGACCGGCACCTCTGCTGGCGGTATTTCTGACGATCTTGTTCAAATCATCGCTGCTGAGTGCCCATTCACCGCGACCGCTTCCAGTTGCCGAATAATGTCCGTGTCCAATGGTCTCCTCATGCAAGAGTTGGTCGGGATGCTTAGCATACCAATCCTTGTCGAATTTGTCATGGGTGGGAACGCCATGGCCGTGCAAGCCATAGCTCCCAGGTGGCAAGTAAACTTCACGACCACTTTTGGTACGTGCATGATGTCTCCTCTTTCCGGGGCCGTGGTGGTCTGAAAGGGCAGAAAAGGGGGCAGGCGATGGAGCTTGAACATCGCCCATATTGGGATTGATTGGTACACGCAAGCCAAGCTCCGCTGGTCCCTGTTCCTCTTCGCCAGGGGCTATCGAGTGTCTACGGGACGTGGGTCCTGACGGCTGAGAGCCAGATGGTATGCTTGTCGCCCTTAGTGTTGGGGACCTTGTGAATGGATCAGATTCTTCATGAGATGGCGATCCAGCTTTGCCGAATCCATGAGCAGCTGCTTGCTGATCGTCCGTTCTGGTCACGGCCTTGACTTGAGCCTTGGCGCTAGCTTGGGGTAGGGAGGGTTTGGGAGCGTGTAATTTCAGGTCTCCGCCAATATTTCTCATCTGACCGACTTCCTCAGGACCAACAGATTCCGCTGGGGTCGGAGTGTCGTAGTTGATATCCGCGTACTCGCTGCCCTCCTGACCAATGGAGGGCAAGGTCACGCTTGGTGGTCGTGGGGGGAGACTCAAATTAGAGGTATCATTTGATATTGAGCGTCCTAGATTGTGGCTGGAAGGAGGATCGTACAGAGGGGAATGGGGAAAGCTGCTCGGGGAGACAGATCGATCAAGGCGCTTGTGCGCAGGACGAGGTGGGATTTCAGGCATCCTTGATGTACTTGCCGCACCGGCATGCTGAGAGCGAGTGGGTCTAGGAGGAATCTGGGGTCCTGCGGTAGTAGACATTCTGAGGAAGTGAATGCTTGAAGATATAGAAGCTATCAGAGAGTCTTTTGTCAGTCTTTGCAAGTAGTGGGGCACATTTGTGATCAGCGCCAGGAAAACTGAAGAGAGCTGCAGTGGAAGGAGGGCGGCAATTCTGATTTTGAAAGGCCATGGAAGCAGCTTGTTGCTCGGTATACTGTGAAGTGCTGTTCGGGCAGCTTTCATGGTCACAGCGACTTGGGACCAGGACAAGGTACACCACGAGAAGGGGGGGGGTTAGGGGTTCTGGTCACGATCCAGCAATTGGAAGTGGGATGAACATACCTTTGTTAGTAAAATGCTAGGAACAAGAGAAGGAACTCGTAGTGATATCGTTATAGTATGTTTTGAGTTACCAAAAGCAATAGAAAGACAGAACCCCTAGAGGAGAGGAGAAACTAATGTTGATGGGATGGGGATTGGATTGGAGGTCCCTCGATCAGTTAAAGTTGAGGTCTGAGAACGCCAAGCCGTCACCGCATGCTCGGTGTCATCTGCCCAGTGATCACTGCATCTTCCAAGCCCACGCTATACCCTTCACCCTTCACGCCACGCACGCTGTCCTGAAACCACTCCCAGCTAATTGCCCGTGATCCCCCAATCCCTCATGGACTGAATTACTAACTCATGTCGTTCTACACCTAGATACTGAAACCGCAGACTGTTCTTCAACCATCGTAACGAAGAGTCCCCAATCACTATTCTCGAGGTCTCTTGATACCAACCACCATTCGTCTGTTCAGGTAACTAGTCCATACTCAGCATTTGGGGTCATCGATTTGTTCATGACCCAACCAACAACCATGTGCGGCCTCGGACTGGCTGCACGTAAGCGGGAAGATCTTCGGTGCCAATTGGATGGGCAACTGTGTGACCAACATCGGGCTACTATGGTAGGGGGCATAAATAATGTTAGCATGGTTTTAGTAGCAGCTAGTTATGATACAGCGGCACATGGAGGCCTAGAAGCTTCTCTGGTGGATAAGAACAGATATTGGTCACAGAAGTACCGCTAACCGGGCGAAGCTTAGCTATCTCGTTAAGAGTCCATTCTGGAGCAAAAGTACTAGCGCCATGCTAACATTACTTCTGTCCGATACCGTAGTAGACGTCTTGCCCGCAAACTACTAGACGATGTCCTACGTAGTAATATCAGGTACAAGAGGGAGTACTACTAGTAGTTATTCATGTCTTCTTGAAAAACTGAAGACCTTGCTGGCTAGGCTTGATGGATGAACTTATTTTGATCCTCATACGCCTGCTTCCTCGATGTCCCTGATGATAATCCTACCGCCCGAGCAGACTAATACCAAAGGCCCGCAGAGAAAGAGCTTGGCGAAGGCTACTGGTAGAAGGTAGAGATACACGCTATATAAAGGCTCTGGTCACTTGCAAAGTTAAAAGCTCCAATCCTGCTGGCGTCGATGGACCTGTACCCGGTTCATCTAGCCATGAATTCCTCATCCCATTACTAGGCTGTCTTTTGCTTTGAGCCCGATTCTCCGTCTCAAACAATCATCTGCGCAACACCTTGCCCACCAAGGGTCTTGCTCCCCACGAATTGTTGATGTTTCAAACCGGCCAATGCATAAAATGCTGCTGCAATCAAGAGCACCACTGCAGCCGCAATCAAACTGCTACCACTGCGTGCAACTATTAAGCTTAACCATTGTATCAGGCTCATGACACCGTAGATGGCGGCTCGCATGTAATTGGTCGTGAAGCGCCGGATGAAGGCATCGAACTTGGCGGAGGTCGGACAGATTCGTAGGAGCAGGGGGATCTCGATAAAGACGAGGACGAAGCCGGAGACACTTTGTGAGATGTCAGTCAAATCATTCACAGTATCTCCCGGCAACCCGAAGATCTGGCAATGTGGTGTTTGTGAACATACAGGCATATTATACTAAATATGATGAGAAGGGGACGGGTGAGGTTGAATAAGTTCGCAATGCCAACTGCAATGCACAAGATAATGCATAGAACACCAGTCCTGTACAGGCACAGTCAGTCTCGATTATTCAGGTCGCGGCCATCTTGCCATTGGACCAAATGGGTTTATTGAAACGTGCGAAAGAAATGCCTGTTATTGTCGAGCCTGATACACGAAATACGCCGCCTAATATCCATCCATCTACTTTGAACAACCATGTGATTCAAAGGCCGAAGAGAAAGTTGTCCACATAGGAGGAGAAGGTTAACGAAAGTAATCAACGCACCATTGACCATAAATACCTGCAACAGCACCAGTCAGCCACTTCTCTAGCGACACCTCCAGAACCAGCACATACTAAAGTTCCGTGACCTGAATTCTTCTGCCAAAGTCATCTTGTAAGATGGTTGCGCTTAGTGCGCTGCCTGCGTTGCAAGGGTGGACAGGCGATGTGAGCAGCAATCAGCGAGGACTTCAAGCAAGTTGAGGAAAGGTTTTCTTGGTGTTGGTGGTGAACGGATTGCCCACACAATGCACTGTTTGTGACGAACAATCTGTTGGTCTGAGCTGTATCCTATAAGGAGTCCCTGATCGACTAGAGTGATGATGTTCTTGCTGTTGTTAGGTATTATTGACTGCTGGAGCGCAGTCCCTGGATTGTACGAAGTAACTGTTTCTAGTGTCGGGATGATCGTCACACCGAGTACGCCAAGACGCTAGTCCAGAGAGGGATGAGCAGATGCAGTGATGAACTGAAGCATAATACCTCTTTCGCTTTCTTAGTGCGTGCAGGAATGCATGATGGTGGCAGAAGATAACAGAAGTAGGGAAGGCATCTGTCAGAGGTTAATTCACCACAAGATACCAGAAGAAAGTGATATAGGCCCAACAAACAGGTGCCTGGCGAGCTCCAGGGCCCGTGCAACAAGTGCCACGCGTCAGCATATGAAAGCCACCCCGACTAGCAGTCTGTGCTTTGTGTTTATCTCAGCAATTCTAAACTTGAAGCCGATCATCATACATTGGAGAGGAAGCATTTGCAACCAGTTTCTTTGCTCAAAAGCAGGCGCTGTCTAACATCCAGCTCTGACACCATGCAATGCGGCTCTCGGCATTTGAATATCCAGTTCCATCTTGGAAGTCAGCTTCCTTGGAGTTTTGGCCTTCGTAGCACTCCTTTCGCGGATATCGGCGACTACCCTGATGTTCGTGCCCTATATTCATAGACTATGAACCTTTTCTGCTCATAATGCAGGATACACCAGCTTGAATATATCGTTAAGAACGAAAAAGCTCCCACTATCTGGCATCAGCTGGAATGTCTGTGTGAAGTTCATCGGTTTTGGTTCGTCGTCAACCTAGCCATATCCAATATTGTCAGCTATTGCTTCCCCAGTGAATTCTTATTTAGTGTTGCTTGCCATACCATTAATGCCCCTGTAACCATTACCAAGATGCCTCCATGTTGACCTGATGGTTGCGCATCGGTAGTGTCGACTCTGTGCTGGACCTTTTGGAAGGGAAGGCTCTGTAAGCAGGCTAATGTCAGCCTCGCATGCGCTATGTGGAGCATGCTGGAATGGTGAATATATTTACCGTGAGTTTCTCGATGATGCTACCGACAGTTGCCACAGCCACACTCTCGAAAGTCAGCATCGACTCCTGGCGCTATACCGTCCAAGGTCAGTTCGAATAGTCCCAGACTCAAATGGGTGTGCTGCGAACGTAGAGGGCGCTAAGACTGGTACGGTCTGCGTCGAAGGCTTTGTAGTAGAAATCGACGAATTGCTCTATCGTAGATCAGACACATTGGACCTCAGATGGGTACTTCCGGACGTACTCGCTATTTCGTCGAAGCCTGCCACAAGTATCCGTTAGCGCACTGGTTGAACAGGCCTCTGGTCCAGCGCAATGGCAAGCAAAGCCCGCATTCTGTGTGCATGAAGCTTACTCACCAGCCATGATACTTGAGGGAGGCGCTCTCCGCAGCGCAAAAATGGAAGGTGAGTTATCGCAAATGTAAGTAGAGTGGGAGCAAAAATGATATGTTTCTTGGTCGATTGAGGGTGGAGGGGGCGGTTGAGGGACAGCTCGGAGGAGATTTCTAGCGCGCTTGCCCCGACTCCAATCTACTCACTACACGTAGCTTCAGTTAAGTTTGCGGACAACGAAGCTCAATCTCTTTCACCACCAAACAATACTTTTACCCTGAGAAGCCTGCAGAAATGGCGAAAGTGCCCGCGCCTGAGCTTCACAAATAGAAGTTTCCTTGACCGGCCCGATCAGGTACGTCAATCTCAGTTCGTCGAGCACTCAAGATTGCCAACCAGAATGATGACTTTTACTTCTAAACTATAACTTCTGATCCTCGATATGAAGTAACAACATAATACTCAAGCTCAACAGTCTGACATTTCCCTTTTGAACATGCATGCTTCTCTCTTACTCTTCTCTAAGACTGAACAAGGCTGATGATCTGCAATACAGGAAAGAGGATCAAAACGATAGAAATCTTGGAGTATAGAAATTCGAGATATTAATCTAATAACTCCGCCCTATGCGACGTTTGTGGCTCGTCTCCAGGACGGCGACGATCTCCGAGACATCATAAATACCTCGCTATGCTAAAATATAACATGATTCATTACCATCATAATATCATCAAGTTCTAATGCCTCTCTTTCCGCCTCCATTACCCTCTCTCTTATGCCACGGATCGCCGGGCCAAACCCACCCACGTATCCTCTTTGCATCTCTCTTCTCACCCATCTGCGGCTCAGGGATCCACTTATCCTTGCCGTCCTTTCCCTTTTCATTCTCAGCCAGATCTATACCCGACCAGATGCGCTGTCTTGTCAAAGCACCAGGACCTCCAACGTCCATGAATGAGCTGGGTTGACCAGGCAGAGGGGTGGATTTAGCCAACATGAGGAGATAATAAAGTGCCAGTGTAACCGTTAGAGGCGTCTCCACCGGTTCAGGAGTACCGCCGTCGGCATCAAACTGTGGAGCCGGCGCTGCGTTTTTCGTGGCAATGGCCTCGCTGACTTCGAGGTAGCCAAAGTAGGGCTGGCCGTTCTCATCGCAGCCTGCTCGCACGCAGACGAGCTCGATTTCGGTAAGGATAAAGCCATATCGGCAGCTGTGGTCGCGCATACATTTCTGTATATGCGAGAGGCCGTTGAGGTAGTCTACTTTGCGCGCTGGAGACTCACGACGCATACCGGTGTTCCAGCGGTCAAACGACTTGACCAGTCCGACAACGCGTCCTCGAGGTAGGCCGTTGAGCGTGCGATCAGCATCATGGGTGTAATTAGCCAGAAAGTGGGGATTGCCCGTAGATCTGTCAGTTGACGGTGCTTGGTAGAGTGAGAGTGAGCTCGAGCCTTGCGACAGTTGGATAGCGGCATTGACCCTTGGGAAATAGATTTTGTTAGTGATATTTGCCAGGTCCACTTCCGAAGCTGGAGTCACTGTGCTAGATGATGATGGGCCTTGAGGAAATGCGGTGGTGTCGACAGCAAAGTTGAGGAGGGGTAGTAGTCCCGGAATTGAGGACATTGTGTCAAGCGAGAAAGTATCCCAACAGCGTACGTTACGTACATCCCACCAGAAATAATTGTTTAGGCCGCGGCCAGGTGCAATGTTAAGCTGTCGAACAAGGTTGATGGGCTGGGTAGGCTCCGTGAGGTAAGTCAAGAGGCTGCCGCTAGGAGCCAGATCGACCGAGGGGGGTGGTGTCATGGAAGAGTTCCTTGAATTAAACCCCATCTCCACAGGAGTGGGATATGTTGAAGGGAAAGCGAAATCGTGAGTTTCTATTGATGGCATTGGTGGTTGATATGGCAGGTAGGATGAGGAAGCTTGGATCGACAGTGGCTGGGTTTGAGATGCCTCGGAACAATACACAGGCAATTGACGATACGTCGGATAGCCGTATCGATTGAGCATGCTCTCATCAATGCTAGATGCAGAACCAGAACGAGAGTGGGAAACCGAGGGCTTCTTGTTGTGTGATGCTGGAAAAGTGACCGGAGGCTCGAAGGTGGAGCTGGCCCGATGACCGAAGTAAGTTGAAGAAGATGAGATGGGAGAAATCAGCGTGGTACTTTCGAGAGGCTCTGTCACACTTCGCTGCACCGATGGTCGAGAGGTAGTATACGGTGTGAAGCTCTTAATAGTATGTGAAGTTGACAGCATGCGACGATGGTTTCTCCTCGGTCCACCAGCGGACGAGGAGGTAACAACCGCATCTTGCGGCCTGATCTTTGGAAGTAGAGTCGGTCCGTGCTGTCGGAGCACAGGCGACTTGCTGGGGGTGGTGAGATTGGTATAGCTAGACTCTGGGGAAAAGCTATTGCGATAGTATGAAGAGCCAGAGGTGTTCCGGCTATGAGTAGCATTACAAAGCTGGTCAACAGCTGCTGCCTCTGGCGGCGTAGCGGGTCTATATGAGTATGGCGCCAAGGACATACTGTGGCATTGGTGATAAGTACGGTGGTTGTGGCCATGTCAAGGAATAAAGCTTACATTTTCTTGAACAGAGAAGCCTGCTTCTCAGAGCGTAGAGTATATAGGCGCGTGTAAATAAAAGAGTAGATGCAATACCAATGAAGCAATAAACGATTGGAATGGGGTATCGTAAGACAATGGAATGAAAGGACGAGAAGGAAAGAGGTATCGTGGGCCCGTCTTGATATACATATCCCACGGCGGTAGCACGCTCGGCCAACTCGGCGATAAACACACCACTAAAGAGCTAAGCAAAGTCAAAAGATGAAACGCGGAGGCAATTGAGTGGAAACGTGGAGCATCATGAGGTCAGGGAAACATTGCAGCCCCGACGGGACTTCTCGCTGAGCTAAGGAAACTGCGCGTCAAGGAGAGCATAAACAGTCGGATGACTATTTTTACGCGTTGTAAGAGCAGCCCGACAAGTAGCAGGCGGCTCTGCGACTATGCCATGATTCAGTCTTGAGACTGCACTCGTCGGCGGTAAGCATCGGAACCAGTGTGTGGAAGCAGCAATATTCCTCAGACGCGGGCTGTAAATTAATCGGCAAGCGAAGGCAAGCACAGATGTCTTACACCCAGGGCGTCTGGGCTTATTCTTCAGCGGCTGCGATTGTTTTGGGCTCAAAAGGAGTACCCCAGAGGTCGGCATTGGCGCCGGGGAGATTGCGTAGTACGGGGGGACAAATGAGGTGAGGTTGATGCCAGATGGGCGCTTCATGTCAGTCAGTGCTGCTTCGACTTGGCTCGAGCTGATGATTGGCCCGATGGGCCCCAGAAGAAACACGACTTTGGCGCGTGAGTCATCTGCGTAAAGAGCTAGAAGAGCTAGTTGACTTAGAGTTGACTTAGCGTTGGCTTAGAAGCATCTCCCAGCCACCACCCCCACCTCATCCGAAGTCTCCATAGACCAACCGCCAACTCGGCCTCATGCACGTAACGCTGACCGCTCTGGTAGCCCGCCTCAACTGATTCTTCTTCTGCAGCTCTTCGGAGCGCTTATTGGTGCTGCAGCTGTGTTTCATGTTGAGGATCAGCGGTCGAGACTCTTGTGAGTCACCTCGATGCAGTAGAACGGAGAGCATCTGCCCGTATCTGTCAAAGCGAGTGCTTGATAGGGAAATTGGCGTTTAAACGATGGAAGGGCTTCCATCGAGGAAGCTTTAAGCCGGGCTCTACCAGTATTCATTGTCGTACAGACGGCACTTCATGATGCCTCCGTTTTCTAAAATTTAGCAATGGGACTCGGCCTTGGAAGCTGTCAGCTCGTCGGCCTGCTCAGTCCATAATGTATGTAAAATCTATCGTGTACGATCCCGTGTCGAGCTTCCCACAATATCTAGAGTATGCGTGCAATGCTCCAAGCTGGCTGCATATGTTTGCAGACACAGGCATTCCCGCTCGGATTACTCCGTACGTAGTAGAATGATCGGAATCATTACCACCAGCGAGACTCCGACCCCAGCCCCCAAGATGCGCCAGCTCGGCATTATGCCTTGATCTCGTACTTCCTTCTAAACATGTTATCCACCTCGGTCAGATAATAGGTGCCGGGTGCAAGGGTATCCGTGCTTCCTACGGGAATGAAGTTGTTCTTCAGATGAGCCTTCTCGCGCAGGACACACATCTGAAAACGGAATTAGCGGCGGCAATACAAAACCAAGGAAAATTCTTACATCATCGTAAACTTCTGGTGCAACGGTCCTTCGAGCATCCAGTCGTGATTGCAGATCCAGCTTCTCGGCCATTTCGCTGGTGTCCCCAACAACCTTCATACTGAACATCGAGCTTGCTAGGCCGCTGCCGTAGCTGAAGACGCCGATTCTTTTTCCCTGCAAAGTCTTCGGGGCCACATTGCTGACTAAGCTGACCAGGCCACCATAGACGCTTCCACAATACATGTTCCCGCACATCGTCGGAACCTGTATGCTCGGCTGCACACGTTCCGCGAAGCGTTTCTTGGTCAGACCCAGGAACGTTTTTTCAACTGCCTTGTCGGTCAATGACGCGTCGTACTCGAGATCTCTCAGCTCTGGAGCCACGTCGGCGAAGAGAGGATGCGAAGGATCTGATAGGTAATCGTTGTAAAGCAGACGCGCGTAAGACTTTGAGACAAGCTTGCAGGTTGGAGCATGGAAAGCCATATAGTCAAAACGATCCAGAGGAAATTTGCTGTCTTCTCCATGAGCAACACCATTGCCGTTGATGACTGCTGATCCATTCATCTGTGGCTTGCATGCTTCTGCACGAGCGTTGTATGCCTTGTAGCAAGCATCTACAGCCTCGGTGTAGCAGCGCAGCGAGAATTGGCCGTCGACTACAGGATACTCACTGGTCAAGTCGGGCTTGTAAAAGTCATAAGCGTGCGTGATGTATGTCCCTCTCAACCCAGGCTCGAATGCAAGGGGTGCGTCCGGACCAATAAGCATAGCTACACAGCCTGCACCACCAGTAGGACGGGCATTGCCCTTTTTATACAGCGCAATATCTCCAGCAACCACAACTGCGTTGCGACCGTCCCAAGCGGATGACTCAACCCAGTTAATACTATTGAAGACAGCGTTTGTCCCACCGTAGCAAGCATTTAGGGTGTCGACACCTTCAACATTGAAATTGCCAGACTTTTCGAACAGCTGCATGAGTACTGATTTGACCGATTTTGACTTATCGAGCAGTGTTTCGGTGCCCACCTCTAGGCGACCGATGGAGGCGGGATCGATCGAGTACTTGCTCAACAGCGAGGATAGCGTTGTGAGAGCAATAGAGTACATGTCTAAGAAGGGATACGTTTAGCTTATGTGCGCCAAACTCGGTGTCTGGCTCGCTTGCCTTCCCTGTCATCGCAGAATGACATTTTCGTCTGGCCCAACCCGATTGTATATTTGCCTGCAGCGACGCCATCAAATCGCTCAAGATCGCTCTGATCAACGCACTGTAAATGATCAGCTAGAGCTTGCCGGTCGCAGTCTGCAGAGCTGCTTGCAATTGCAATTGCTTACCTGGCTGGGAAAGTATATTTCAATGGCTTTGATGCCGATGTTCTGCGGCCGAGATGCCATCTTGTAGATGCGATTTCCGAAGGACAAGCTCAGGGGAATTGAACGGTCGTTCTGATTTTGCGGTCAGAATGGTCTATTATCAGATATTGTGGGAAGCGGTAAGGGTCCAGCAGTTTGCGGAGAACAATGGTGTGGTTGATCAATGGAAGGTACGCCCGGCAAGAGCAAGCAGGATCAAGTCTTTAAGGTCTGAAAAAGCACAAACACTCCGTGTGCATGAAATGAGAGGAATTGCGTTTCTGTGAGGCAACAACGATTGATCTAGGTTTGGAGAAGCTTATACTTAATATCTCGCCCAGGATCGGGGTTCTTCTGTTATGTTGGTTGGGGATTTAAATACGGTACTGGTAAAAATTTGTGGTGCCACTAATCCTGCGTCGGCTCAATCTTATCAGGGACGCGTCGCGGCGTCAAATTCGGCGATCAAAGCCCATACCCTGCCCCATCAAAATTGAACGAGGTACATGTCTTTACTGTTGACGCTGTTGCTGTAAAGTTCTTATTAATAGTACTGTCCGCTGGCGGTTTGGGCAACCACTTACTACGTAGTAGAGCTGCTATCACAATAGATAATGATAGCGAGATATTTACTACGTATTTGGTAACGATTATTGCTGCATAGCACGAGGGACGGAGATCCTCATTGGAATTTGCTACTAGTAGTCAGGTATCGGCAGGCCGAGTCCCGAACGCCGATCTTGACGCCGTGTGAATTTGACTGCACTTTGTCCATATGTAGTTACTCCATTCTCGGCGACCGGCCCATGCCGCACAGCCGTAGTGAACCTCACGAGCCAGTCCTCAGCTAAAGAAATTCCAGCTGCCATTCATTGAGCACGAGATATCCTTACTTTCATGACCTAGTCGTCACCCTCATCTTTCACCTCGGTCTTCGGAACCTTTGTTGGTGTATCTTCCTCCACGTCGCTCCCGGTGTTGCTATTGCGAGCTCGCTTCTTAGGAGTTACAACTCCAGGTGATGTTGTAGTATCGCCATCGACCTCATCACTCTCCTCTTCCACAGGTTTCTTTGATGTCTTCGAGGTTGAAGCTTTCTTCTTGGTCGTAGATTTCTGTTTTGCGTTTCCTCCACCATTTTTCGCTGTGCTGCCCTTTCCTTTGCTCGGAGTCGAAGATTTCTCATCGCCAATGAGTATCTTGTAAAGACGTCCCCACCGCTGCGAGCTGGGTAAAGCGTCAGTCTGGGCTCACACCAAACCGTAGAGCCTGGAATGAATGTTGGCCTACGCGGCACTGGTGCTCACGAATTCACCCTCCTCCGCGACCTTTTCCCAGTTCGGCTACTCTTTGATCAGCTTTTGTCCTTGTACAAGAGAAGAGGCGGCAAGAAGTGGCTTGAAAAGTATAAAGGCTGGCATCATACCTTCAAAGGGTCGGAATGCTTAGGCAGAGACGAAAGAGCTTCGTCTGCTCTTCATTGAGAGTGATACCAGCCGTTTTGTGGTCTTGAAGCTTTCAGGGGTTGATGTCTTTCGAAGAAAGTAAGTGTTGAGAAGCGCGAATGTCAATGGTGATAAGCGTGAGGTGGTAGAGATGATGTCTTATTTGACGGCAGTGTGAGTTTTCTATGGATGCATTCCAAGAACACAAACAGCCATGTTCCTTTAAGATCGACTTGTACACTACTGGAATATTCCTTGCCCTGACGTCTAATTAGTCTGATTTAGAAACACAAACTCAAGTGTGGAACCAGCTGGCAGCACGTTTGCCATGTCTTAAATGAAAGAAAGAAATACAGGTTCACGCCTCCCATCACCTCGACTGCTCAGGTTACTTGAACTCAAGATAGCAGTTGCAGCACTCTAAGTGAGCCTCTAAAGGGTTTCCAGCCTTGGACTTGGTGCTTACTACCGCAGCCGGTCCAGTCCGGTGTCTCGGACTGAAATGTTTTCCCACGGATTCTCCGCTAGCTTGCAATCTTTGTTAACAGTTTTGAATCTCCATGGCTTCCGCTGTGGCAATGGCCTATTCCCAAAACTTTCTGAATGGCGAGCAAGCCTGTTTTAGGTAAGCCTTAGAAGAAAAGGTAGCACTTGAAGAAGATATTCAAGTTTTTATGCCAATGATTTAGATCCTTTTTTATATCTTTGTAGATATAAAAGTTATTATCATAAAGTTATGTTTAAAGAAAGTTGAAATATTAACAGAATTCGACCAGGGTTTCTGAGAGATCTCTCTCGACTTAAAGGTCGAAAATTAAGTTTTTTCTCCCCCTTTTTTCCTTTTTTTCCTTTGTAATTTAAAAGGAGATGTGCAGCAGGAGGAAGAAAATGGCTCTGTTCGTTCAAAAAAGCTGCGCAGGGCGCAGAAATAAGTACAAATTTGCTGTACGGCACAGCGAAATTAGCCGCGAAATTGCAGCAGAAATTGACCAATCAAAAGCAAGAAAAACGCAGGGATTTCGCGTATGAAACGCGGCCAAGGAGCGCTCCTGCCGTTTGACAGGAGATATCACTGTTAATATAATGTGAATGCAATCTAGTCAAGATACAGGTTCTTTGTCAAATGGCAACCTGGGGGACAGGCGGGCAGTGGAGAGATTTCGTTAATTAGATGTATTCCAACGAATATATTAAGCAGATAATATGCATGCGGATAGCATGCGAAGAGCAGGGTAAGCAAGTGCACAATGGCATCCTTCTTTTGTGTACGAGATAGAACGCTGGCCTGCAGAGTTTTCTCCTGGGCCTGCTTATATCTACATGCCAAGAGACTATCTCGGTTCGAGCCTTCAAGTTCTATTTGGTCACATCCTAACATCAAGTTCTTGTCCTCAGACCTGTGAGATAATACTACGTAGTTACATAGTCAGCGACTAGCCTGTTCGAGTATAATGTGCATGGCTTGTCCACTAAGCCCGTCTGAGCGACTAAGGCAAAAGTAGTTCGGGCTCATAACTGCAAGGGGAAAAAATAGATTTCAATCGACCAAAAGGACCACGGTCACTAACGAGCTGTCATACTCAGTTTAGTCTTTAACAAATTCCTAAGGCGGCCAGCAGCTAACTGTAGTAAGAGCTCTGTACACCCGTTCCATCTGTCCTCTTTTTGGCTGTCCCCCAGTCCCTCGTTCCCCCTGTATCTCGTTCCCTCTGTACGTCGTCCCCTGTCCCTTGTTCCCTCTTGTTCCCCTTCCCTAAGGAAAAATTTCTCGTCTCTACTCTATGTTTTGCGTGCCGAATTATCAATCATTTGAGGTTACTACTCTACTCCTACAGTTGACGTATTCGCACGGTGTTTGCTCCCTGGCTTCTGCTCAGTCTTCGTTTCGCTCCTGTTGTAGAGGACTTGGATTGTCAACCGCACTCCACTGGGCAACCAATGCCAGTAGCACAGCAGCATGGCCGACGCATCTCCACCGCATAGATCGCACAGCAATGTGCAACAAGAATCTCCAACGTACGACTGGAGGGGACCTGATGATCCGGATTGTCCTTACAACTGACCGCAGTGGAAGCGCATCTACATGACCAGCATTCCAGTGTTTCTCTGCATCAACGTATTAGTATCCTCCTCGACTCCAAGTACAGATTTTGACTCAAGCAGGTCCTTCGCCTCTTCCGTATACACATCCGGAGCCAAAGAGATCTCGGAGCATTTCGGGATCCCCCAACAGTATCTCTGCTGGGTCTTTCCCTTTTTCTTTGGGGTCTTGGACTTGGAGCCATCATCGCGGCGCCTGTCAGCGAGTATTATGGTCGCAGGATTGTATATCTAACAACTGTTCCAGTATTCGGGCTTTTCATCCTAGGCTCAGGACTAGCACAAAACTTTGCCACCTTGGCCGTCTGTCGCTTTTTCGCCGGCTTCTTTGGGAGCGCAGTGGTTTCAGTAGGCGGAGGCACAAATGCAGATATCTGGCAACCTAGTCTAGCGGGATTGGTCTATCCTTTCTACTTCGTGTACCCTTCTCTTGGGCCAGCTTTGGGTGCGACATGTATTAGTTTCTATGGTTTTCCATGCTGACGTCTCTCGCCAGGACCTGTCATCGGCGGTTTCGTCAGCGAGAACGCGGACTTCCGCTGGCTCGAATGGGTAATTCTCTTCGTGATCACCTTCAACTACCTCTACTCCCTTCCCCAATCCGAAACCTACAAGAAAATAGTCGACGCGTGCTACATGAAGTACCAGGGCCTACGACGTCATTTCTTCGGACACGATGGCCAGCGCGTAGCTTACTTCAACCGCCTGGTGCCACAGGACAATGCATCCCCAACACCGGACCTCATTGTCGACAGCCTCAACTGCCGCGAGGTGAGAGAGGCGGTGGAACAATGGCAACCCGAGCTCACCATCGTTTCGGGTACCAAGTATATTGGGCGGAAGCTGACGGAGCGCGCCGGGCTGATGATCAACCTGCATATTGGACATCTGCCAGAGTACAAGGGAAACCACTGCATCTTCTTTGCTCTGTATGATGGGGCGGTGGACAAGGTATCGGCGACTTTGCACCAGCTAACGCTGCAGCTGGATGGAGGCGACATCTTGGATAAGGTCTTTCCGTCAGTTTTGCCAGGCGACACCCAGGAGACGCTGTATTCACGGTGCATTCATATGGCAATGGATAGGTGTATCAAACATATTGAGCATTTCTCGCAGGGGGAGAGGCTAGGATTTGTCCCGCAGGAGCGGACAGGAAGAACGTTTCGGCACTGCGACCGTACGCCTGGGAAGGAGTTGTGGCTATGGTGGAAACTAACAATGGGTGGGCTGCTATGCGACGATAGGACGGCGGCCAGACCATTGGAATGACTCAAAGCGGTAAGCGATAACATTTCTGGTTTTCTGTTTATCTTATTCCCTTCCACTCCAGTCTGCATGGTCACCAATCATGCCGGTCGTGTTGTACAGCCTCCCGCCGCCATCTTCCAGTCAGAATCATTCTCCGACGTCCGCGCAGCCGGGATCCTTCAAGGCTTCCGGGTCGCCAGGGTCGACAAGACTTAGCATGGGCAATAGGTTGCGGGCCAGAAGTTGCATACATTCGAGTCATTGTACATGACCTTGTAGGAGGTTCGTGATGAGCCTCTCGAGGCCCACTCAGGTCAAGGAGTTCTTGTTGCGTATGCAACGTGTACTCGATCATAGTAATATTTTCTTATCTTTACCACTCCTCTCAGCTTGGCGGGCCGCTTTTATACTCTTTGAACTCACGCTGGGTCGTATGCTTACCGTTTCTAGGAGCAACGGGCACACCTGGGTTACTGCGTAAATATCGATTACGGCATTCGCCCGGTCTGGAGCTGGGTACTGAACATCTTCCAGGGCTTGGTGTCTAATGCCTATAAATAACTCACAAAAAGAGATAACATATTCAAGCCCCATCGGCCCTGGAAAAAGTTTGACAGATAGTTGATTCTCTGCTTGTTCTACATGACGTAATGTGGTAATAGATGTCACTGTTCGAATTGAAAGAGAGAATTCCATGTTCTGTTTCCTGACTATCAGAGTCAGCATGGCCATGAAGTACCAAGGCCATTCACACTCAAATCCGTCAATAGCGCAGAGCCTCCTATTCTGTCCATCGATAGCGTTGTCGCCGCAAGGTTGTCGTCATCCAGCAAATCGCAGACGTAAAAAAAACTGCCGGGTCTTGCCGCTCCTCCCACTGATGTGGAATGGGTAGACCAACCACCTGAAGGTTGAGAGGAAGACCACCAGGACGATTACGTAAGTCTGATCTTCATATGATCTACTTTGTACGGAAGTATACAGCTAGGCATCTAATACCCAATGAAATTGTATTATTTTGGACGTCTTCTTTCTAAAATCATAGCAATATGACAGTCAAATTATGGTCATTTGAGCTCTTTGATGAAGCTTGTAATGAAAAATCGTCTGTTAAAGACCAATACCGCGTCTCCTACAAGAGGTAGCATCCAGCTTTGTGTATTTGGCCGACGACAGTGATAGCCACCGGAAGATCAATTTTAAGTTGGTCAAGAATGACCTCGGGATCTTCTTGGCCTGGCGGGAGCTTAGCAAAAGCTTATTCTCTCTCTCCCCGCAATGTTGCTCTCCACCTGGACGTTGGGCCTACACTGCTGCTACTCAGCGCAGTGGCGACATCTGAGAACACATCTCGGACAAATATGGTTCTGTCCTTCATTCTGATCCAGAACCGGCAAGGCAAGACCCGTCTTGCGAAATGGTATGCACCGTACACGGATGAAGAGAAGGTTAAGTTGAAGGGCGAAGTATGATTTCCCGTCTCCTGTCACCATAATCCTCCTTCAGCACACTAACGTCATGTCAGGTCCATCGTTTGATAGCTCCTCGTGATCAGAAGTACCAATCCAACTTTGTCGAGTTCCGCTCCGCTCCGTCCGCTTCTGGATCTACTGCAATCGCTCGTCAGAACCTGTCCTCGACCAAAATCGTCTATCGACGATATGCAGGGCTGTTCTTCTGCGTCTGCGTCGATGCCAACGATAACGAGCTGGCGTACTTAGAGGCAATACACTTCTTCGTGGAGGTTCTAGATCAGTTCTTTGGGAATGTGTGCGAGCTGGATCTGGTTTTCAATTTTTACAAGGTGAGCAGGCTTTCTCTAATCGCATGAGCTACGGGGATCGGCCACAGTAGGTCTGACTTGCTGATGAATGGCTCAGGTCTATGCTATACTCGACGAAGTATTCCTCGCAGGCGAGATCGAAGAGACAAGCAAGCAGGTCGTATTGACGAGGTTGGAACATTTGGACAAATTAGAATGACTCTCATGCATAACATACAACCCCATCCATCAAGTTCTGGTCTTTCCACTACCGATACAAGGCGGACACTGGCAGCCATTCCCTGCAAGAATAGCGAAGTGGGAAGGAGGAAGGGGAGAGTGCTAGATTCTTGAGAATATAATTGACTGGCATGACCATCAGGCCCGCTGGCTTTTCCTAACGAGTCATTGGTCAGAGGGAGAACGGTGCAGCGTTTTCGGATTGTTAGCGGCTTTTATATTCTGAATCTACCGGATGCAAGCAATGAACAATGAAAGAACACCAATTCTGGAATAACAAGCAACTCTAACGGTCTACTGGTCCGGAGCTGGTGCATGGCGGCGCTTATGCACTGCAGCTCCATCTCGCGCTAGAACGAGGCTAGAATATTGCCACCGTCTGATACAGAGGACCCTTCTTCCCTCGAACCACGACCCAGGAGACGACCCGACGTGAAGAATCAGCGCGGCGCGATGTTGTAGTGAGGTTTGACAAATTGCTTGGAGAGTTTCCCTAAAGGTGGGTTAAGTTCACAAATTGTCATCCACGACATGCCGCCTCCGAACCGTACCCTTGTCTCGCCAATAGCTCTCTACTCGATTTTGCATTATTTGGCTCGCAGTTTCGAAAGCATTGGTGAAATCTTCTCGGTTTTCTGCCGATTCAAAGTCCAGAGTTACGAATTTGGCGCCCTTGATGACCTCCAAGCCCTGGCGAACGTCGATGTGCTCCGGCGATCTCAATACTGCCAAATTCCACCTTTCATCATGGCCTTCCGTGTCATAGATCTTGACGTCGAGCTTGTTCGCACATTTGATTACGATCCGTAGACAGGACTTTGAAGGCTTATTGCAATCACAATTACCTGGGCTTAGACGTGTTATCTCCGTGACTGGGATTGAGATGAATCGCGTGGTTTCTTTGCCATCAACCATGCTAGCAGCGAAGATTACAATCTGTGACGACACAGGATATCGAAGCAACGCTCTTCGACCGGCTTGCTGAATTTCCGAGGACGGATTCTCAGACGCAGCATAGGTTTTCGCCCAACTATCAGTACTGGGCGCCTGTGAGCTAAATTCAGTTGACGTGGAATCATGGCCGGCGCCGTTAGGGCTGATGGCCCGTTGGGCTGAGCTTGGTGATATGGAATCTTGCGGTGAGCTTCCATGGCTGAGGACGGTATCTGCAACCAGTGGAAAGCGAAGAGGACTTTGGGGGGCTCGATGAGTCCAGATCTGTACGCGTCCACTAGTGCCGATCGTTTTAATGCCACTCATGAATGACGACTCCTTGATTCGTACCTCAGCCACCCCTTCACTGTCATGTACAACGCCGAAATTAGTGATAGCCTGTTGAAGCTGATGGAGGTGGCTGATATGGTTGAAGGTCAAAGCCTGACTGCGTTGATCGCAGCCCGTTGCTCGCCAGCCGATGCTGAGGGCGGAATCAGATTTCTTGGGAAAGGCATAGAAAGGCACGAAATGCACCTTTTGAGCGTCGATCTCGTGCCCCTCGACCTCTTTGTGTTTTGATATGGTGCTGGTTACCACTCTGACTAGACGAAGGCGAGTCTCATCAAGTCGAAATACCATGATGTCCTGTTTCCGGCTTTGTGAAACATCTGGAAGTGGGGCCTCGAAGATTTTCTGCTCGAAACCATCTGGTTCAGTTAGCGTTGGGAAGGGATCTGCGTCGCCGAAGTCCACCCAAATATTGAAGTTTCCTTCTGGCTCACGTAAAATGTCGCTTGGCTGTGGAGCTTGCAGCGGAGATTCGGCTGTTGCGAAGCGTTCTGTCTCAGAGATGATCTTGGACTCAAGCTCGTGAACGTATGTCTTCCACAGGATGTCTTTGCAGGCAAGGTCGAATGATGGATGGGATTTAATTTTCTCAATTATCCAGACGCACTTCATAAGGTTGAGATACTGCGTGGGTTCGGGTGTCAGCATCAATGGTGCGAAAGACCGGAATTTTCGAGTGCTCTCTTCAAAATAGAAGGCCACAGCATCGATGCCCTCCGCTAGAGGGAAAGGCTCGATCGGTCGAGTATCCATGGCTGTTGCCTTGAACTTTTCGGAAAGGTACTCGGGCACCAGTGGTAATGCGGACAAAGGAAGCCTTGTCGTTCCGGTCTCTTCTCGAACGTCCCCAAGAAGAAGCCCTTTGATCTCGTTCAACCTGCCAACCAGGTCGCCATGCATCAGTATGATACGTTGTTGAATGTCAGCGTATATCTTTCTGACCAGAGAATTAGCTACGCGATAGTGAGGATATGGTTGGAAAATTGACTGACAGCTCCAGAGGCTTCAACAAAAATATGACCTAGAAACCATCAGTTCTATTCCACAACTTTGGCATGGCGAATACTTGCACTCACCTTCGAACAATGGAAAGAGACCCGAATTCTCAGCGATCGGACTCTCTCTGCCAACCCCAAGCTCCACGATATATTCCTGACAAAGCCCAACCCATCTCTTTCGAATTTAGAATTTCGCAGTACCAGATCTTCACACTGCTTCGTCGTGCCGGCAAAGTCCCCCACAATGGATTGGAAAGTGGACAAGTCCCATTCGTGGCTTCTAAGAGAGGGCATTTGTTCTTGAGCCTTCTCAACTGCATCTCGGATGGAAGCGAGGCCTTCCGCGAAACGACGAATATCGTTGCCGAAGTCGGCATACTCCTGTTCTGCCCGAGTGAGTAAATGATAGACTGAAAAGGCAGTTTGCGTCCTCTGGCGACGACAATAAACAGAAGGATCTTGTCACGGGGCTCAATCCAGGCATCGGTCGAACTTCCAACAGATCCTCATCGTTTTCAACTTACTTGCACTTTCATATTTGCTAAACCCTATGTTATAAATATGCCACGCGAGGGTTGCGCATGAGATGATGTCGCTGAGGCCGAAGCCCATCCTTGACTCGTAACGATCTCCTCAGTTCACGCAACTTCGCTATACAGCGACTCTTCACGCTAACATACAAGTGAGCACCGACGAAAACTTCGCACGACAGTTCTCTCGTTAAACCCAACCAGGCTGTACACCCTGATTATCAAACCAACAGGATTGCGTTATCTAACATTAGATGGTGAAACCACATTTGCTGCAGCCAGAAAGTACTACCAGGTACCTCATGCGGGCACAACGGCTCAAGTGTTGGGCTGGTGCAGCCTAATTCTAATCTCCGTTCCGCGGTCGAGTTGCAGTCAATAGCGCCTAAGTGAGACTGCGCTAGACCCGTGATGTCGTGCAGGGCGTCAACTCTCCGAACTTCGCCATGCAGACTTGGGCTCTTGATCAAGCTATCCTTGAATAATCCCAGAAACGGGTACCTCACGAACGATAAGTGAGTTATCTGCCGACTTAGCAGAGATTAAGATCTGCAGTACGAGGTTGCACGGCAGAGGTACCAGGCAGCAACCTCAGCCTTATCTTCCAACTTCAGGGTTCGTCCAGTCTTTGAATGAGCGAGGATGAGCTGGCTCGACAGCCTTGCACTGTCATGTAGTTGGGGGCCAAGTCCCTCACTTCTACCGCGAAAAGGTATATGCAAGGCTTCGATAACACCGCGGCGAGGTGCGCTCTTTTGTCCCTTATTTTTCTTTCGTGGTCTGTTGCAATCATGGATGACAGTGGACGATCAACCGCCGCGGGTAGAAAGGGTCCACTTTTCAACCAAGAAGAACTTGCTCGAGTAGAGCGGGCAAGATGTGCGAGTCACACAGTCGTTACCAGTAGGCCTCAGTCTCTTGGTTACCTCTCAATCGCCTGTATCATAATCAACAAGATGATCGGTAAGCGCTTTTATTGACTGGTATGAGTCTCCGGCTGACTGTGATCCTAGGAACTGGAATATTCAAAACCCCGACTGTGGTGATGCAAGGAACCAGCAGCGTTGGCATTGCTGTGATCTTTTGGGTCTTGGGCGCCGTCGTCGCCATCGCTGGGGTCCTTGTTTTCTCCGAGTTTGGCCTCACAGTTCCTCGAATGCAGGTTGAAGGCCAACATGAGAAGGAATCCGTTCCACGGAACGGTGGAGAAAAGAACTACGTAAGAGAGTCCCCACTACTTGTCTTCTTGACATCAAACTCATTTTGGAAGCTGGAGTATCTCTGCCCCAAACCACATTTCCTTGCCACCTGCCTATATGGCATTCCATTCATCCTTCTTGGAAACACAGCAGGCAACGCCATCGTCTTTGCTGAAAATGCGATTCGTGCTTCTGAAAGAGAACCTACCAACGTCGAAGTAAGAGGCGTTGCAATAGCCGTCATCACCTTCGCTTGCCTGATCCATGCTGTCTGGCGAAGGGGCGGTGTCTACCTCAACAACGTCTTTGGTTTGGTCAAAGTAGCCATACTGCTGACGCTTTTCTTTGTTGGTGTCGCATCAGCTGCCGGAGCTATTAAGAGCAGTGCGGCAAGCTCAGGCTCAGTGGCCAAAGAAAATTTCGATCCAGCCACATCATTCAAAGATCGCGCGGTGGGTTCATACAAATACACGGAGGCCTTCTTAAGCGTCATGTTTGCATATGATGGTTTCAATCAAGCCAACTATGTATGTTATTACGCTGTTTTCCAATCGATACTCGGCTGACAGAGATTAGGTACTCGGTGAAATTGATGACCCACGGAGAAAGTTCAAGCGGGCTGCCTTGTCCACAGTTGGTTTTGTCAGCGCTTTCTACATTCTGGTCAATATCACTTATGTTAGTGCTGAAGCTCCACCCAAAGCTGACCATACCTTGGTTGCATGCTGACCGTTTTTAGATGCTCGTTGTCCCTAAATCCGACCAAAATAAAACCAGCAGCGACGTTGCGACGTCGTTCTTTCAGCGAGTGTTTGGCGAAGAAGTCGCCAGTCGAGTCCTTTTGGTGCTGATGGCCATATCTGGTCTTGGCAACGTCCTTGTGCAAACTTTCACAGCAGCACGGGTTAAACAGGAAATAGCCAAGGAAGGCATTCTGCCGTGGTCGGCCTTTTTCGCGAGAAATTCTGACCTCCGATTCTTCCGTCGTGGACCCAGGAGCAGATCACAAACGCATGCTGGAGAGACACCAGTTGGCGCCTTTCTTCTTCATTGGGTGTTCGCAGTCGCTCTGATCGTTGCAACTAGTGCGCAGAACCCTAGCGACACCTATAGGACCTCTGTCTATCTCTACTCCTTCACTGTCGATGCCTTGTTTGGGTTCGTCGTTGGCCTAGGTCTTCTCTATCTTCGGCTCAACGAAGCCCGCACCAAGTGGTCAACGAAATCAGCATCCAAACCGTGGCTCAGTATTTCGGCGGCGACCATCTTCACCTTGGGCAACTTCTTCCCGCTGGTCGGGATCTGGATCCCGCCGGGAAGTGGCTCCGTATTCGTGCCAACAGCCAACTGGTTTGTCACCGGAACGGTCGGGATTGTTGTCGTGGTTGCGGGTTTTGTATGGTGGGTAGGGCTCTATTGCATGGTTCCAAGGGTTAGGGGAATGAAACTCGAGGTGGAGAAGGAGGAGGTGCTGGATAACGGGTACGGTTATTGGATCATGTGGCATGAGATTGTCCGATTTCATTGGGTGGTCAAATAAAAACATCCCGTTGAGCGTCGTCCCACGATCTTTCCGCTCCAAGCAGATGACCGATCTTGACCAAGCTTGACACAATTCGAAACACCATCTTAATCCTGGAAAAATTCCGCTTATAAGCCCCTCCCTCCTTCGTCCTCGACCCCATATCAAACCTACCCTCCATGCCTCCACTTCGCCCGAAGGCAAGCCCAGAAGTCCCCCCCAACTAGCTCCACTCACCTCCTCCCCACCCATGTAATCGTAGACCATCTCCCATGTCCAGAATCCCCTCCTCCTGACCCTGAACATCAATCGGGCACACCGAAGAAACCCGGCTTCTTCTAGAACCCGTTTTGTCAGGCTCGATATCGCCGCCCCTCAGGGAATCATGGTATATACGCTCTACGTCCTGAACCGACTTTCATACCGAATAACCTATAACCAATTAGAGTCAAAAGACGCCATTATCCCGCTCTTCTCTGCCGGCACGTCACGTCACGTCACGTCACGTCACGCTACTGGCTGGCGTAGGATTTCGTTGTGTTGAGCTTTGAAGGCCCCACCGCGTTTTCTGACGTCGACTCACGGTGACCGCGGCGTGGAGCAGTATCGACTCGGCTCGGCTCAACGCGGCGATTCTGTGGTGGTTGGCCAATTCTAGATACAAAAGTTTGGACGGAACAGCTCCGCTGGGCGCCAAGGCCGCGCAGCGGGGCGGGCCGGCGGATACTACTTAGTAGGAGGACGGGGGGCTAATGCTCAGCCCTAATTGGTACGAGGTGCCGCCGCCCAGAAGTACTACGCTAATGAGATTTTACCCTAAAGGGTGTAGTGTGTAGGCAGGGGTAGTTGAACCAATCGGATGCTGTAGATTCTTTTCCTCAGTGGTATGTATCATTCACAAATGCCTTGTGGGACGGTTTTAAGAGACGTCAAGAGAGAATTTCTATCTTATTTGATGTTATTTAAGCCAGTGGCTTGATAGTGAAAATGAGACTTTGGATCAGAAGTGTTGTGTTAAGTCTGGTTGATTTCTAACCGGTGGCTTTACCGCCGTTATAGCCGGTCAACTGGTGCTACACTAACTAGGTTACTAGAGTACCGGTCTGGTACCGGTCAAGTACCGGCAAGAGTGTCATCTCTCGTGTGAGCCTGACAGATATGCTATCGTATCTCTTCAATTCTTTTTTGTGAACGAGAAATATACAGTTTGAGTGGTGTATCATGATATGTAATTAATACTAAAAAAACTAAGAAGCTTGGTGGAAATATACATGAGATTTTGTATCATGTATGACAACGTGCTTGTGGCAATTTAATCCAAATCTGGTATTTCATTACTTCTGGGCCGCACCTCGTAGGACGTATTTTATTCCGATTTCCTGGTGAAGACGGTCAGAAGAACAACCGAATATGGAGAGGGGATATGGTTTCTACCCAGTACAAGCTGCAAGGCCAAGCTGTATCATCATATCATGTGAATGGTTGTATACGGAGTGACTTAGTTAAGTGCTAGAGAGCCAAGAGAGCCAGACGCGGCCGATTTCGCACAGCATATCTCATGACCAAAACGATATGTACTGCCGATGCGCCTCGAGCTGAGAGGACTTCCCATAGAAGCAAGACTTGCTCGGTACGTAAATGTCTTATTTTACCATTGCAGACTCCCGGATTCGCTGGAGCCGCCGCCGTCAGGAAGAGAGCTCAAATTCCGGAAAGATGGCCGGGTCAAAGAGCCTGGACGTCCAGAATGTGTCGTCAATATTGCCCATAAAGTCGTCCATTTCCTCGAAACCAGCCATGGCGGGGAACTGGGTAGCCTCAACTTGGGCCTGAGTCGCCTCGCTCATACCTGCTGTAGGCACAGGCGCTGGCTTTCCGGGGGGCTCGCTCGTCTGCTCGGCAGGGGAGTGATGCTGTGTGGGTGCGCCGGTAGTGGTTCCCTCATGCGGATCCCGGATGACCTCGAGAGGGGAGTCTTCGTCAGCTAGATCGCCGGTTGCAGCTGTGTTTGCAGCATCGCCGACGCTGGCGACGCGCGTTTTACGCACGTACCAGTGCCGGGTGCGCTCGAGGATCATTCTCAGAGAGAGGAAGAAGTCCGGGAGTGGCTGGCTTGCGGCGTTGAAGGTCGTGATCGATGACATGCGGTAGCACAGCGACTCGAGGTAAAGGTCCAGACGGACTTGTTCTTGAGCGGTGCGGATGTCCCAGTGGGTATCGGCGTAGCTGTCGCTGGGGAATGAGAGCTTGGAGACTATGATGAGGACGTAAGGTAGGCGCATCCATTCGATGAAGGAAAAGAGACTGTAATGTGAGATCGGCGTGGCGAGGAGGGTGTCCAGGTAGGCTTTGCCTGCTTCGAGACAGGAGAGGAGCAGGTCAAAGCGGTACCTGTTGGCTGGTGGCGTGTTGGATGGAAGTATACTGCTTGCCGGGCTGGCACCCATTCGGATGCCGACACTGTGGAGTTCCATGTCTACAAAAGCGTAAGACAGATCCATCGCTGCTGCAGGATGTTTAGTTCAGCGCGGTACCAGAGGGTCAATCTTATAGACAGCCTACCACTTCGTCTTGTATCAGACGGCAAATGTCTCTTCCACTCTTTCAGTTGCAAGGCGAACATTTGTAGGAGCATCCGTGATCGAGTGTGGTCGGCATGCATGTGGTCGGCATGTACGGCGCCGGCATCTTCTGATCGGAAGGCTGCATGAATCTGGTCCCCAATGTGGTACAGTTTGATCATGTGTAGCAATATATTATCAGATGGAAATTCTTGGTCTGCTTCGAGCCGCTTGCAACAATCTGCCATGTAATTGGAGTACCTCAACATATTTGGTCGACTCAGCGCCACAGAAAATCTGAAAGCTGTCAGCCTTATGGTCGTTCGTCTCTACCGTCACCGGTTCGGGCACAGGTCCTTACGCTACAGATAAGTAGTAGCAACCCAGAAACGCTCTTTGACCTTCTCGCTCTTCGTTTGGAGACACTGATGCAGTTTTGTTACCGGCGGAAATATCCATTACTGGTTTGTCAGGCTTGTGACTAATTCCTAAGTCGATCGCCATGCTGATGGCTAGTTGGAGCAATTGATATATCTGCTGAGCTTGGGGTTTAAAATGCTGATGGTACCTGTTCCCTACTTTCAGCAAAAGCGTTGAGCCACAAAAACTTTGACTTTCTGGAAAGAAGGAAACCCACCACGCCAAGTAGATCAGGATACTTTGCAAACAATCGAGGCTTCTCTGAGCATTGACAATGGTATTGGTAGCAAGCTCATTTCGATATTGTTCTTCAAGAGTGATTTGCAGCGATCGGCGCTTTCCAGAAGCTGTTACCAAGATAGCGAGAAAGAGCATAGGCTTCTCCGATCTCAATGTCTGGGCGGTGAGACCATGAGATATGACAACGAATGGAAAGAGGTCTGACATGGGCCGAAAATCGTTCAATAAGGATTCGGCACACATTATATCAACCAGGTCCTTATCCGAACTATATGCAGGTGCTCGTTCATTGACAGTCGCCACTCGTGCCGTCGGGCTATTCGCTGATGGGACTATACGTTGCTCAGGTGGATACACACCCCTCTCATAGGATTCCCGAGGTACAATATGATGCTGAGCGAACGGCGAAGAGTCATTATGAGCACTTTCAGACTCCCGCTCCCTCTGACGACTTTCCGCATTAGCAGACGCACTGGTTGACAAGCCAGTCTTCTGCTCCATCTCATGGTGCGGTTGGCCGGGAACGGAAGATGATCGCCTGGACTGAAGACTTTCTCTTGCATTCTCTGGCTGCGCAAGGAGTGCAACCAAACCATCGATTTTCTGTTCAATCTGCGCCGTTCGACTATCGAGGCGCAAATCAGCCTACCAGCCTGATTCGTGAGTGATCAGCAGCTGGGAACGGCTTACGAATTGGAAGTGCGAACCCGCTTGGGTCGCGGTTGACTGTCCGGCCAGACACATTCTCTTTTAGAGTCAAGGCACCTTGAAAATAGTCAACAAGATGCGACGAATACAACAGCAGTGATCCGGTTTTGAAAATGATGTTCGATGCCCGATAATAATGATCATAGAGCGACAATTCACATGATAGAGTGTAGGTGATTGAAAGTCCAACTTCGTCTGTGGTAGGGAACACATTTTGAGGCTCGGCCCGCACGGAAAGGGAGGAAGAGAGAAACGCAGAAATCCAAAAATGGCAAAATCAAGATTAGGATTCACAAGCCTCACCTCTGGCATTCGGCTGTCCGCTTGCTGGGCAAGCAACGAGCCTTCAGGCTACGGCAGTACTGACACGCTTGGGGGGTCCGCTGCCTCCGGCCCGTTTCTGGTGGACTTGCAATACTGGATTCCATATGAGGAGAACTTAACTAGGCGGAACGGGATTGAGAAGAGAGGTTCAAGCGGAAGGGAATGGAATGAGGATCATTATCTGGAGGAGTGTTGGTGAGCTTCGGTGGGCGTAACGGGTACGGCTAGTAATTGGCAGCCATGCCGTGCCGCTGCCCTGCCACTGCCCTGCCACATAACGCTAAATGCTGACTGGGCTAGCGGCCGGTGTAGGAGGCCGTGGGTCTTGGCACACCTCAAGACCTTAAAGACTTCTTACACCTACTCTACCCTCTCATCTCATCGCCACCATATCCATCGGAATCAGGGTGAATTCGAGGCTCGTTGGTATCCACACCAAAATCTACCCAGGAGTCTATGCTGGGACCCTACATTAGAGCTGTTTTGCGGCGCTTTTTGTGGGGCGAAAAGCGTACAGCACACTCAAATTCGCTTACTTCGAAATACTACGTATAGCAGATACAGACCCTCCGGCCCTTAATCGCTGGGGCGATTCCGCTGGACTGGACATCCCGACCTAGTACTATCCAAGCATCGACAGTCCCAACAACCGCCTCAGTTTGTGTCAATGGATGTCACAACACGAAGTGGACGGGTGTCACGGAAACCAGTGAAAATCCGGCCTGATACCGTAGCATGCTGATCCTGAAAATATTAAGAAGGCGATCTAAGGTAATGACTCATTGATCAGACTAGCTATATATTCCTAGAGTTTCATCCAATATCAAGTACGTAACTTAATCGACCCATAAGTCTCATCTGTTTCCCATTCAACCTCTTCCTTTTCCCAGATTTCTATAATCGAGATTGACCCGAGATAGGCGCGTCATCCGAAGAATAAAGGGGTATTGAACTACAAGATACCCTTTCTTATGCTCTGAAACACGCTCTCCATGGGCGGTCTCACGTTCTTCGCGGCCGGCATTTGCGCATCATTTTCCAACAGAAAGATATATCTCACCGCTAACCTCGTTGCATCAGTAATGACATAGATCCCACTGCCTTGTCTAGGGGGTTTTTGCCCTGCTAATTCGCATCCTAATAATACTCTTAAATTCTTTAATTTAGTTGACTTCCATCCTCCTTTTGAAGTCGTTGCGTAACTCCATGCCACGCGGGGCTCATCAGCCATATATATGCCAGGTCCATATAAGGCACCATTCCGTTGCAGTGAGGTGCCGCTCTGTGCACGCAGGCCTTGACAGACGATGGCATGTAGGCGGTCAAGGGAGGTGCCGTGAAAGAGAATCTGAGATGTTGATTCCGGAGCCGGCATATGCCGGGAGAAGGCGATCTCGAGATCTGGGGCCGCATTCACAAGGAGAAATTGGTGAATACCAAAAGAGGGAATCCGCTGCTGTCTCGGAGCAGAGACAAGGAAACCACGATACGAATTGCAAGCCCAGCGAAGCCAACATGCAAGTGAGGTGGACTTGGAAGATGGGTTGCAGTAGCCGAGGAGAGCTTGAGCTAGGTGGAAGCTGTCTCCGAAGACATTGAGACAATGCTTGAGGTGTTTTGCGAGAGTGGATATGGGTGGAAGGGCGTCAAGAATGCCGAGGACTGTCGTAGCGTTGCTGGCTGACAAGTTTCCTAAGAGCTCAGGTTTTCCTGTCAACGCCGCCGCGCAAATCATGGTTAGGAGCAGGTCCATCACGGGAGGATCCTGCCAGATCTCCACTAGTTGAATCTCATCGTCTGCTTCAGAGAAAGTGGATTTACAAGATTGCAATGAGCAAGTTGTACCGCGCCGTAAGCAACGTTGGCCGAGACCACATACCAAACAGCCTTGTCCAAGCCTCGAGACTTTCAGAGCGATGTGAGCATGGGTCTGCTGCAGAGATTTAAAATTGCGACGTAGGTGATGCCACAGCATTCGAGAAAGTTGATAGATGCCACGATTGGGTCGACCGCGGCAATACTGTTTATGAGGTGGTTCATCAGCCTTGAAAACCTCCCAAGCAGTGTGACCGTCTCTTTTGGAGGTGACCTCCGAATTCATTTGATCGCTGGACTCGCCGGAGAGATGTACGCAGAACTTGATTGGTACGCCATCATGGCGAAGGGTGAGACGTATCAAGAAATCCTCAGCATCGCCTGCACCTATCCCCAATCGTTGCATTCTGGTCAAACCGGCCGCTGGAAACCGGAGCTCGATTTCGTTCTCGGAGACCTCCTCGACTAGAGAGCCAAGCGACTGAGGAAGACTGGCAAGAGTATCGGCTACGATAGTAGAAGCTTCGATGCGGAGCTTCGCAAGCAATTTCGAAACATCTCGAGGGCAAACAGCTCGCAGAGATAGCCGCAGGTTCTCTAGGCGTTGGGCTTCGGTCATCAATTGCAGATACTGCTTGTGAAGAGTATCGGCCACCTCCGTTAGATGAGAGGGGTGTCTTTCTATGTTGAGACTGATTCCAAATAGGCTAGCAACTCTCGTAAGAGCGAGACGATCTTGTTGCGAATGGTCACCGGCTCGCAATTCACTCGCCAAAACGATTTCCACGAATCGTGGAGATTCATGATGCCGAGAGCCAAGCACCCTCAAACACGCCTCAGCCCCTCTGGAACTCGTTTGACGTATGGCTGACAGTACGTCCTCAACATCTTCAGCGTTTCCGCTGTGAAGGCATGCGATGATGATATCCACCAATCTTCCGTGATGGCTAAATTCACTGTCTTTGACGAAATTGAGCACTCGAAGAAGCTGGCTGTTCTTCGGAGCAGAGAGACCCAACAACAGCACCTCCATTGCGGGTCCGCACTTTAGCACACTCTGTAAGCGCGTCAGGGTAGGGAGATAAACGGCCATTTGTTGAGACCATCCGTGGACCTCGAGACTCAAAAGTTTGGGGGAGTCGCGTTCTTTGATTACCTCGGATCCCTTGTATATGGCTCTAATGCAATTTAGCAGCTCGAGCCACATCTCGGCGCCCAAATTTGTTACAGCGTGGCGGAGAAGCGTTTCGTGCTGTTGTTCGATTACAACTAAAAGTATCTGGCGCCATCGTTCCAGAGCGCTTAGCATATTTTCCGATGCCATCAGCCTAATGAGTGTAAACACCCCAGTATCAGGGTCTCCATTGGGAAACTTGAGTACTCTCAGCGTGCTGATGACCAGAGGATAAGAAAGAGTTGTTAAATCTCCTAAGCAGTCACATCGAAATTGACAGCTAGTATTGGGGAAATCTGCAACCAGAAGAGCAAGCTCGAGGCGTTTCTCATCTCGATTCTGCTTCCACAGATCAATAAGAGCTTCAACTAGTCCGCGGACATGAGGTGAAACTGTCCAACCGGGCACGAGCAAAGCCCTGCAGTAGGCATCTACTTGGCTCCTTAGAGGAGTTGCCGCCGAAGACGTCACGCTCCAGATAGAATTGCGTATGACGCCAAGGGTCTCAATCGTCACCCAAGGAGGCCTGGAGGCAATCAAGTCTTGGGCGGAGTGATCAAACTCAGCCACCAGCCAGGTCTGCTCCTGCAACCTGTAGTAGAAGGTTAGGAGCTCCCTAGCACTGTCTTTCCACCCATTTTCGGCATCTATTTGTTGAAGAAATGTATTTTGTAGTTTTCTCACGTAATTTGCAATCCAATCAAATGGGTACCCCTTAATCCGTTCACGCAACCCATCAAGGCGAGGATCACGCAAGGCAAGCAAGAGCTCTATAATTTCCTCGATTCCTGAGACGAAGTACTGGCTGGGAAGCGTGAACGCTTGTAGGATGACCCTGGTAAGAGGTGGCTTGTCGAGAAGCCGAGTCTCCTCCAGGATCTGAAGGTTTTCGTGGGTGATGGTTTTGCCGACACAGAGATGTACAAGCAAAGCTGTATAGTCACCACCGGCTGAACATGCAAAATCTACCACACTCGTCAATCGGTCAAGAATGCCATTCAAATTTCCAGAATCTATGAATGGATTCCTTCCGAAACGTACGTGTGAATTCCCCCAGTGTAGTGTCGTCTGCGAACCACCAATGCCCTGCGCAATCAGCCCATTTCGTAATGAGGCTTGTGCACTACCTATCATACTCGCAAAGTCCGGTCCCTCCAATGCAAGTAGGTCTCCCAGGGACAAAGGAGCACGAACAGCATAATCATTCCAAGCGTGCAATCGAACGACACTAGGTCGCCATGCGGCCCATGCTTCCCATGTGGGAAGATGAGTATTTAGCAACTGACCTGCTCCCAGGTTTGGTATCAGCAGCAGGCCGCTAGATGAAATTGTTGACAGCCATCCAGCTGCTACATAGGCGTCCTCCCATCGATTCCTGTGCCTTAACACCTCAAGCTGCGTTGCAAAGCCCAGACACACTCTGCATGCGAGGCTATTGGTCTCAGTTTGAAGCAACAGACCAGAAGCCACTTGGTCTAGTAAAAGAGGTAGCATATCTTGAAGCTGCTGACCTAACGTACGTGAAGAGCCGCTATGGGCAGGGTTCTCTGATAGGTAACGGGCCCATTGTGCCTCAATATCGCTGACGGCTTCAGGGTTCGCGTGGTTGGTGGCCACGATAGCCTGTGAGTATTCGTGGAGTCCGAAGGCGCCATTGGGCTCGACTTTCAAATCGTTGACGACCAAGTTCCTGAGAGCTCGCGTGGTTATATGGTGAGCACAAGCTGCAATCGCGACTCCCTTGGACGAGTGGTTGCGTATGAGGTCAAGTAGACGCTCATCGGTCTGACATTGTGACAAGAAACCTTTCTTCTTCAAATAATATCCTGTATGGTTCCGCAGTTTGATCCAAGGGAAGTCCACGTCAGTGGGTTTCCCCGGGCCCGCAGCTACATTGATATTTTTGTGCCAAGCATTGCTTTCACGGCCCTTGAGTTTCATATTGAGTCACGCTGCGGGAGAATGTATGTAAGGCAAGTGAGCACCCCACTGGATGGTGAAACTAGCCACTCCTGATTTGTCCTCTGCTTTTGAGATGCATTGACGGTATTCCTTCTCCCCGCTCTGCCGGAGGCAACCAAGGGAGTCCGATCTGGGAGAATGAATTCCCAGTGTGTTTGCACAGAGGGTTCTCGATGTCCCAGCTGCAAATGGGCCGCAGAAAAGTCCAGTTCGCGGAGGGAAAATGTGGCGGAAAGTGATTGGGCAGCACTGCGGATAGTAAGAGAGAGAGGAGTAAAACGATTTTCATGCGATGCCTGACTGTGGGAAGGCATAAGGCTACGTTATCGTGAATACTATTTGATAACCCAGTGGTGAATCTTCGAAAGATAGCACGCAAGGCTGTCCAATAGGCGCTCAAAATGCAAGTGGCGGAAACGAGTCAAGACTAGTGAGAATGAGATTCTTAGCATCGGGCTGGAGACAACTCAATATTTCCTCCACCCCTTCCATCTGATCATTAATCACTTTCACTTCCATGCTGTACTATCTTGGTTGACATGCTAGCCTTTGAATGAAGGCGTCCTGAATTTTTCTTCAAATGGCAAGTCGACTGCCGGCCGAGATGCCAAGGTCATGGCCTGGCCCTCGTTTGGCTTCTGGGTATTGGAGCGACGAGAGCGAGGGTAAACAGGACGATGGTGAGGAAATGCCATACCTAGAGCCAGACCTAGTGCTTATCAGTGAGTTACTTGAAAATATCGAGCGCAGTCCACCTGCTCTCGAGGCTCGCGTATTGCTAATGCAGCTTTACGTCGGGTGCGGGTGGCATGATGCGGCAAAGGAGGAGGCGCATCAAGTCCTGGCAATCGATGGCTCTATTAAAGAAGCACAGATATACCTGGGGGATCGCTGCAAAGCGAGCCTCCGAAGGGACGACGGAGGTGAGAACAGGAAAGCGACGGCGAAGCCTGCCAGCACCGGGACGAAGTCCAAGGTAAAAGGCAAAGACGCCACAGAGCTCCGACACCAGAGAGCTCAACCTCCGACATGGCGGCCACGTCTCGGGAAAATCACCTCTCCAGCCGTCTCGCTACAGAAACTCGAGGATGGGTATGTTGCATTGATGAGAAATGCCCAGCTCCTCCTTGGTGAAACGAAACTCTTGGAAGACCTCAACGTTCCACATTGTGAAGAGCAGATATTGGACCTCGCAGCAATGGCGGAAGGTCATTTGAGCAGCGTTGTGAGAGCCAGGCGTCTACAGAGCGTAAAAATCGTAGCGAAGGCGATAGTGGCCGATAGCAAAGACGGGGTCCAGAATGGCTTGAACACCGCGGTGAAGGATCTAGACGATGTGGCTCGCTGGTTAAGAAAGTCAAAGGATACCGCAGAGGCTTCTGGAAAGGGTATGAGCAGATCAACTGGTAACGACGACAAAGACGAGATCCGCGAAGCTTTGGTGAAACGGGCGAAAGCATTGAAGGCTTTGCTACCACAGCCATTGCAGCCACTCGCAGACTTGGCAATGATGCATGCGGAGCACGAGTTCCTAAATCGAAAGTACGTCAACGATGAAACCATGTCTTTCGATCCCATATCCAGTATCCCGAGGGCCAATTTCTGGACCAGCGAGGATGGCTACGCGTGGGACATGGAGGAATTAGCAGGAGCAATCCGGAGCGGCAAAGGTGTAATGAGGAATCCACTCAGCAGGCAAATGTTCACACGGGCCGACGTACGGGCCATCGTTCAACATCCCCTAGGAAATGGACTGCAGGCCTTGCAGTTGGAGCAAAGCAAGCTCAAGCACGGCGTGCGGCCGCAGACCATAGACGAACTCGATACGCTGGCGAAGGTCTTCATAAGCGACATGACCGAAAATGGAAAACCGAGCCGTGTCGCTGTGGAGGCCTTTGTTTCATACTTGGAAACGCTACCGAGCCACGAACAAGAAGCCATTGACAAGCTAAAGGTGCCGGCCAAGGACAGCTACACGGGGATGCCGTTTGATACGACCATTGGTGAGGCGGTGGAAGACATGCAAGGAAACAGGGTGTGCCTTCACAAGACAGGCGATTTCCTGGCCCAAGCCGTAAGATACTTGAGATGAAGAGGATAGACAGACGCGTTGTTATGCGCGCCAAGTATGCCAAGCGCATGCCAAGCGCGTGCCTTACTTTAGTACGCAGAGTTCAAAATTTTGATGTGTCGTCAACCCAATAACAGTCCGACTTAATACACAGTAAGTACTAGGGAATAATGGTTGACGGACCATGCTTCTATCTGAGAACCTGGAGAACCTCTAAAGACGCCCATCGCATACCAATGCCTACCAGATCCAATTTACTCTTATCGTGCTCTTGGTAAAAAGGAGTACCCCCGGCCCATCCCCCCCCCCAGTGGATCCTCCACAGTTCTCGGTCGCAGTCACCAGTGAAGCCAGTCCTCGTGTGCAGCATGGCTGTATTATCAGACAACAGAATATCACCCTGCTCCCAGGTAAATCTCAGGCACACGCGTCGATCGTACAACATTTGGTCCACCATCGCGACAATATCCTGGCTGTCATTCTGGATCGTGACTTCGCATGTCGAGAACTTGGTCTTGGTGGCGTCCCATGGTTGATGCCAGCGCATACAGGGGGCATTGCTCTTCGGGTGGCGTACCACCAGCGGTAGGTCTTGCAGCTTCGCATTCCAGAAGCCGTTGTTGTCCATTCGCCACTTCACCGCTTCCAGACGCTCAACCGTATAGGGAGCCGGCAGGTATTGCCAGAAGAGCCGAGAGGCGGCGAAGAGAGTATAGCCGGTGCCTTTAGGTGCTGTGGCGATGGAGGTGAAATACTGGAATCTGGGGCAAGTTAGCGGAGACGGGCCGGCGTTTGATGCTACTGAACTTACCCTGGTGGTCTGTTCACTTTGATCTCATTACCCTCCTCGTCTTTCATATCATTGCCTTCCTCATCCTTTTGAGTTACGAACTTGAACATGCCGTCGTAGTGCATGGGCATCGCTTCGCTACTCACAACGTTGTTGTGGTCCTTGTCGTTCCTTCCGTGGTCTTTGACCTCTTGTAGAATCCCGAACGTCCACGGAAGTACGGTTCCCATCTCATATGCTTTGCTGATGAAAAGCTCGCGGTCGGTAGTATCAGCGAAGCCACGCAACACTACGGGAGACTGGACCTCTGCCAGTTTGCGCAGTTTGGTTACATCAACATCGCGGAGCGAGGGCTTCGACTCAAGCTCGGGTGCCGGACGGATGATAAGTCCACAGGGGTACAGATGTTCGAATTCAACCTGGATATTGCCGAAGTCCCAGAGGTCTGACTTCTCCCGGAAATGGTATGGGCGACCGTTTCGAAGGACAAGATCGTGCGTTTCTCGCACGTCTCCAGCATGAACAGTCTTGAAGGATCCGTCAATGCCAACAGCAACGGACGAATGCCATGGAGTCATTATTGCGCCGTCCACCTGTGGAATGAGAGGTACTGAGAGCTTTTTCTGCCCAACTGAGGGATGTATCGAAAGACGCACGTGATCTTTGCACTTGCTTTCGATGGCAGCCGCAAAAGCCTAGGAATTCCGCATGTCAGCTCTGTTCCCCGGTTTGAGTTGCTCACAGGACTCACCTTGCCCCGCGTGATCATCTTCAATGCAAGGCTCTCAATTGCATCCTTGTACCGCTTCTTTGGGTTCTCTTGACGTTGTGCTTCCTCGGCTACGTGGCTGTACTTCAAATCTTTGGTCAAAAATTTGATATAACCTCTATATGTCAGGCAGATGTCGGTGTCTTTTTTGACCGCTTCACGAGCGTCAAAATTCGCGGGAGAGTATTTTGCGATGAGTTCGCGGCGGTAACAGCCAGCGTGGACCAGATACTCCTCTCTCGTCAAATTCTCGGTGTTAGGATGGTCTAGAAGATCGACAATGCGGAGGGCCCTGATATGGTGGAGCTCCTTGGCTTGTATGATATCTCGAACTGCTGTGGAGTAATCCCAGACTTCACCGTCCGGTATACCCATCAAGTCTGAGAGCCGTCAGTAGCTGCATGTGAGGTATGGGGGGGTGTATTTGGCACTTACCATTGTAGACCAGGCCATCGGATGCTATGACCACGGTAGCGCCGTGCTCATATATCTCCGCAACACTCTCACATAGTCCGTTCAAATGCATCAACGCAAGCTCTTCACCCAAATCAGGCATGTTACCGAGGGTTTTATCCTTCCTGTTTGGCGACTTGAAAGGAAATGCTGGTAAGACCATCTGCACTGGCTCGTTCTTCAACACATGCGCCTCGACCGGAGCCACGAACTTCGACTTCCCAGTCCACGGCCCTGGAGCGTTCTTGGAGCCGACATTGTGCCCATACCTCTGGATGATATCCAGAATCTGCAGAGCAATCTTCGTTGAAGGCCTCTCGGGGACCACAACAGTAGGCTCCTGAGCCTCGAGGGCGGGAGTCACTGGCAAACTGATATCAGGGCTCAGCGGTAGCGACGGGATTGGACCCCCAATCAAAGCATTTGGTTTCTGCTTTTTCAGGTTGAACTGTCCCGGTCTCGCTTGCGAGGGAAAGAGTTGCTGTAGTTGGGCGACCAAAATGTCCACCTTCTGTTCAAGGGCCGTGAATTGCCTTACGTCCACGGACTCAGTTGATGAAGGGACCGCAGACATCGAAGCCTGAGGCGGGGCAACGGCTGCCATCGTCTAAGAGAAAATGCAGAGATACGGGAGAGACTTTGACGATGTACGGAAGGTTTGATCTAAAGCGCCGGAAGGTGACAGGTTAGTGGAAAGAGAAATTCTTTTCCAGCTGACTGCGATGAGACCGATTTTGAAAGAAAGGGAACTTTTTGACCGAGTGGATGCCAGTAATGAACTGCTTTCTGGAAGGCACAGACACTCATTATAAGCAGATGTTAAAGGAATCTTGCGATGATACCACAGCCGCCAACAACACGTGGCTGGACTACTACGTGCTTCGCTTGTAAGATGAGCAATGCGATGATTACCTCACGTCACACACACTGACACTTCAAGAGCGACTCATCGTCGGGCTGAATGTCCAGCAAGACTTGTTTGGATAGTCAGCACTGTCAGCACCACAGACTCCAAGGCCTTAGCTGAGTCCGAGTACGAAAGGCCGACCGCCTCGCGATCCAGGTCTTGTGCAACAGACCCCCTTGGCAAACGTTTCTAGCACTAATAGCACATGGCAGTATGCAAGTCTGTCAGCTTAGCAAAGTGCGATACTCGTGGTCCGAGCGCGGACTATGATCGAGAACGGTTCTGTTTTCCCGCTCGTTCCATGGTTCTGGCCAAGGAAATTTGGTTCGAACAAAATTTGCTAACGCAAGAAGAGGTTCTCGAATTGGTTGTTTTAAGAATCTGGCTGATTTATTACTTCTGAATGGATGTCTGGGCTATGATCGTCCATTCTAGCGGTTTTCAGTCCAAGCCTCATCTGTCTATCCACCTTTCTGGCGTAAAATTCGACATTTTCCCAATTGGTTGCTGCAGCAGTTGCCTCTATAAGCGCTGTGAAGCAGAATCTCTATTGGTGGTGTGTAGCTAACTAGAAATCTAAGATGCAAAGGTTCGGATGAATAGCTCTCTGGGCGCCAAGGCCCCACAGCGCACCTTAACAGCCGCTATCAAGTTAGATCCGTCCAATCAAACTTTATGTCGATTAAGTAGACGCTAGCGGTTACTTTGACCAATGGAAAAAATGACAAATTTTACGCCAGAAAGGTGGATATCTACGTGACGCTGTCTGCATTCAACCTGCTGGAATCGAGCTCTTCGAATCTAATTTTGCATCCCAAAGGAGCAAGAATACCTCCCTAGCGGAAATTAGCGGCTGGCCATATCACGGAGCGGCTCTGACATACCGAAGTCAATTTTAGCCGATATTGCGGATCAACTGTCCACTTGACTCGTCTCACAAGCTCGAACAGAACCATCTTCATCTCTAACAACGCGTACCCTTGCCCCAAACACTTCCTGTTGTAAGCGTTGAATGCAATGTATCTTCCTTTGACGGTTTCCCGTCGGGCCTTGGCCATGATCTCTTCTGGCTTATCTCCCCACCTCTCTGGAATGAATTGTCGAGCTGTCTTTCCCCAGGCGGCCTCGGAGCTTTGCACTCCGGGTGCGTTCCAACCGACCCAGGTACCCTTGGGGATATTGATTTCACCTCCGAGGACGTACGGCTCTAGAGAGACGCGATTGATCAACTGAGACACGGGTGGGTAGACTCGTAGGAGCTCACAGATGAGGCTGGTCAGGTAGGGTAGCTTGTTGAGTGTCTCGCTGGTTGGGTTGGTGACTCCTGTCGCCAAAACCTCCGCTCGAAGCTTGTCCTGGATCGTCTGGCGGATATCATGGTCAGTATCGGCTCTGGTCTCACACTGGATTGCATGACTAGCAAGGGACGGAACTCACTTGATCGGAACCCAGCTGCCAAAACATGGAATTGAGCAGCTGCTGCGTGTTCTCATGTGCGGTCAAAAACACAATTTTTAAATTTGCACGGAATTGTTGTTCATTGATGATTCCCTCGTCCAGCGCCCTTTCCATCATGTGTACCACAAGCTCATCTTCAGGCTTGACTGGCTCTTTGCGCAATAGCTTTCGCGGCCGATTTCGAACAAGGTCATACAAGAGATCCTCAAACTCTTTCATGATTGCAAAAGCTCGTCGCCTGGAACGAAAGATATATGGATACATATCGAGGACCGGGAAATTGAAGTACAGTGGTTTGAATATCGTGCGTTTGATGATGCTCTGCAGTACTTCGATGCGGGCGTTTGGTCGTTCGAGACACTGTGCCGTCTGGTCAGTTCAGGTCTTTCATTTCCTGTATGGGTGCATTACTTCAAAATCAATGTCGAGAAAGCTCTCGCCCATTGCTGCGATTGCAAATCTCTGTATGATCGGGTTTACCAGGAATCCGTTATTCGCACCTATATCCTTTTGCGTGTTCAGCAGTATATCAACAAACCTCCGCGACTTGTCCAGTATAGGTTTGGAGTCGAAGTTGGTCTTTTGCAATCCCGGCTTCATGACGGAGGTGTACAACTTCCAATCGTCCCCATGGGAGTTGATGATGTTGTCGCCCACCAAGGACGATATCACACTCCACGGGATTTTCTTCTGGCTGCCAGCCTTTGCGAAAACGTCCTCGTGTTTCAGCATGTCGCTTAGATATTCTGGTCGAGTGACGAGCAGGTTCCATCGGCCTGCGAACCAGATCTTGACAGCACCGTATTTCTCCAGTGGTTGACGAAGCCATCGGTCATAGATCTCATCTTGTCCCATGTCCGACCAAAGGCCCAGAAGGCTGATGTAAATGGGGACTGCAGGTATGTTTTTGGGCAGATTGCTTGGTATGCGGAGGAGGCGATAGAGCAGAATTGCGAGCGCGCCGACGACACCGCCAAAGTACGTGAGGATTGCCATATCAGCAATGTGCCGCAGCAGTGACAGCAGAGAGGATGGGAAAATCGAATAGAGGAAGCACGAAGCTCAGACAGATTTACGGTACCTGTATACAATACAAAGTACCAGTATGGCTTGGGGGGACATGGAAACGAGCTCCACTTGATGCACAGGGAGCTTTGTCCTAGACTTCCATCGGCCTTACAATGCTTATCTCACGCCGCTCAATGCTCAATTGCCGTGTTCGGTACTTGTGTGCTGAGTATTCTTCAATCTCCCATTTCCTCTCACCACTCTTCTGACTCAGCTGACTCACTTGCAGCCGTCCTATTTTGGGCAACTCTTGGCACCAGGGGGAGAAGCAGACCCATACTAGTAGCCTGCACTAGGCTGTGACTTTTCTCATTGTCTGGTGTCGCCCTATGCTTGGTGCTGGTGCCGTGTCAGATCCAGGTTGTCGATTATCTTTCAGTCAGGTTTCATCGCTGTGCTGCCAAACGCCCGCATGGCGACAGCTGTGACTTCAAACGCCACCGAGGACAGCCAGGCAAAAGATTTGACCCCTACTGGACATGTCGCGTCCAAGCCAGGTCCTCCATCAGGTCCCATGCCGCAATATACTGCTTTCAGTCCTGGGCGACAACGCTTCATCTTGGGTATCGTCACCGCTGCAGGCTTTTTCGGACCATTGGCAGGAGGCATCTACCTGCCTGCGTTACCGACCTTGCGGGAGGCTTTCAACGCCTCTGCAACCGTCATCAATGCCACCGTCTCGGTCTTTATGGGAGTCTTGGCTGTCGCGGTGAGCACACCCTGCTCAATCGGATTTTCAGCAATGGCTAGGGTAGCCGGGGAGAATCCTCACCACTCAACGGTCACGCTGAATATCGAAATTTCGTCTCTCCCACACTCGGTAATGGGTATGCTAACAACCATAGTAGCCACTCTTCTGGGGTTCTCAAGCAGACTATGGCGGTCGCAAGCCTCTGTACATGGTCTCCTTGATGATATTTATTGTGGCGAATATTCTTCTTGCGGCCGTTCCAGCGAATCTAGCCGCTCTTTTTATCCTACGAATTGTCCAAGGTTTCGGTGCTGCCAGCGTTCTCTCCCTGGGAGCGGGAACGGTCGCCGACATCACAGCGCCCAAGGGAAGAGCTTCCGCCATGTCCATCGTACTGCTCGGTCCTCAGATGGGCCCTGTGCTCGGTCCACTGCTTGGGGGTGCTATTACAGGTAGTGCCAGCTGGCGCTGGACATTCGGTTTCCTGGGTATGTTCCGATCGTCCTTTACTGACCCGTGTACGCATCGTTGAACGTCGATGTAGCCATCACCTGCTCTGCAGTATATGTCGTTCTCGTGTTCTGTCTTCCCGAAACCGTACGATCGCTTGTCGGTAATGGCACGCTTTACAAGGACAGCAGCTGGATCGTCCGACCGAAATGGCGACAGTCACCCGTGGTGGATCCAGCCAAATTCCCTCGACCTCCACCTCCTACCCTACTCGGCTTGCTGAAACTTCTTCGATATCCTCCCATAGTGATTGTGTCGCTGAACAGCGCAATCCTGTTCGCAGCCTACTACGCCATGAACGTCACGTATCCGACCTTCCTCGAAGATATCTACGGATTCTCAACCACCGAAGTCGGAGTGGCGTATCTCGCGCCAGGTCAGCCAGCAGCCCTCAACTTCCCTTTTCTCTCCCCTTCTCTTTCCTAATCCCCGTTCATCCCACCCCGCTAACCACCCCTCTTTTCACACACGCAGGTCTCAGCCTCGTCGCCGGCTCCCTCATCAGCGGCCGAGTCTCCGACTTGCACCGCTCCGTCTTTGTGCAAAACAGCCCCAACCAAACCCCACCCCATCCGGAACACCGTCTCCACCTCCAGATCCCGGGCATGTTCATCTCCCTCGGTGGGATCCTCATGTACGGCTGGCTCGTCCGCTTCCGCATCCACGTCGCTTCCGTCATCGTCTCCACCAGCTTAGGTAGGCAACCACTATTTTCCCTCCTCCTCTTCTTCTTCTTTTCCTCCTTCTACCCCCCCCCCCCCCCCC